CTCAAGAAAGGAACTACCGGCCTGAGTGTTATCGGTGCTTACCTTCCAGGAGCATCTCCCCTGGGCCGTGCATTCATGGAGGGTTGCACCCCACTCCTCTCACCCTGGGCTAGGGCGTTTCCCACCCTGACCTTCCTTGAGTTCCTCCACTGCTGCCTCAGTCCTCCCTGCTCCCGGCTGCCTGCCCAAGTGCTGCTCCGCCTTCTGCTTAAAGGCGCCGCCTCCAGAAAGCCTTCCCCGGTGGGCTGCTCCTCTGCGGCCTCGGCAGGCTGGGTGCCCCAGCCCTGCGCTGTGTGCTTCCTCTGTGTTGTAATGCTCAACTGAGTCTGAAGTCGGCTCCTGGCAGGCAGGGGCCGTGTCTCTCTGTGTCACCACCACACCCTAGAAACCGGCTTGACGCCTGGCACACGGTGGGCACTGGATGTGCGGAATCACTGAACTCGTAGCTGCCGAGTGACTCTCATGATTGAATCTGTGAATGTGCTGAGAGGTGCAGCTGGAGGAGTGGGGCCAGGCTCGGCTGGGCAGGCGGAGCGTCCCAGCAGTCACAGCCTCCCACAGTGCCTCGGGGAGCAGGGAGGGTCCCCGACATCTGGCAGAGGAGGGGGCAGAACGGAGATCTGCGACTTTTCCACACCTGGGCTCACTTGTCTGTGCTCGTCACCGGGACTGCAGAGACCAGATCCAGAGCCCAAACCCAGTCTTTGGGGGTCACAGTTAGGTGGAGAGCCCGTGCTGTGGGCTTCTCTCAGCCTCTCCAGGTCTGTGCCCACCACCCCCCATGCTGTTTGCATGGGGGATTGAGGCAGGGGTAAGGGCTTTCCCTGGCTGGGAGCTGGGATCACAGTTGGGCTGGGGTAGCCCCCTGGGGCCCTGGAGCTGAGGAGGGCTGTGTGGGGGACATTGGAGGAGCGGTTCAGACCAAGAGCAGCCACCTTGCACTTGGCATCGGCAGCTTGGAAAGCCAAAGTGAGGTGGGCACCCCCAGTGCATCCCTGACAGTGGTGCCGACTCTGCCCAGAGGAGGACCATTCTTCCAGGTGACTTGGGGTTCCGAGTCCCGCCCTACTTCACACAGCAGTGTTGACTGCAGTTACCCACCATTCTCAGGCCTCGTCACAGGTGTTCTTGCAAAGGGTTCCCTGGTCAGATAGCTTTGGGCAACATTTAAAACACCTGGTGGATAGAATCTGCATTAAATAGCATGCATCTGATTAACCTTTTAATGTTTTAGGTCTTTGTGGTGGCCTTGATCTCTACAAATCTCTGGAGGTGGTTTTCACTCGTGAAAGGAGAACTGGGCTGGGTTTTCAGGCACTTCCTTGGAAGCCTCGTTGCCCCTGTCCCCATTGTTGTTCAGTTGCTATGTCGTGTCTGGGCTGCAACACGCCAGGCTTCCCTGTTCTTCACTATCTCCTGGAGTTTGTTCAAACTCGTGTACACTGAGTCAGGGATGCTGTCTAACTAATCTCATCCTCTGCTGCCCCATTCTTTTGCCTTCAGTCTTTCCCAGCATCAGGGTCTTTTCCAATGAGTCAGCTCTTCGCATCAGGTGGTCAAAATATTGGTGCTTCAGTATCAGTTTCTCCAATGAATATTCTGGACTGATTTCCTTTAGGAATGACTGGTTTGACCTCCTTACAGTCCAAGGGACTCTCGAGACTCTTCTCCAGCATCACAGTTCGAAAGCATCAGTTCTTCGGTGCTCAGCCTTCCTTATGTTCCAACGCTCACATCCATACATGACCACTGGAAAAACCATAGCTTTGACTAGACAGACCTTTGTCAGCCCAGTGATGTCTCTGCTTTTTGTTATGCTCTCTAGGTTTGTCATAGCTTTCCTTCCAAGGAGCAAGCGTCTTTTAAAATTTCATGGCTGCAGTCACTGTCCGAAGTGATTTTGGAGCCCAGGAAAATAAAATCTGTCACTGCTTCCACTTTTTCCCCTTCTATTTGCCATGAAGTGATGGGACCGGATGCCATGATCTTAGTGTTTTGAATGTTGAGTTTTCAGTTCAGTCGCTCAGTTGTGTCTGACTCTTTGCGAACCCATGAACTGCAGCACACTAGGCCTCCCTGTCCATCACCAACTCCCGGAGTCTACCCAAACCCATGTATATCGAGTCAGTGATGCCATCCAACCATCTCATCCTCTGTCTTCCCCTTCTCCTCCTGCCCTCAATCTTTCCCAGCATCAGGGTCTTTTCCAGCTCTTCACAGCAGGTGGCCAAATATATTGGAGATTGAGCTTCAACATCAATCCTTCCAATGAACACCCAGGACTGATCTCCTTTAGGATGGACTGGTTGGATCTCCTTGCAGTCCAGTGTTGAGTTTTAAGCCAGCTTTTTCACTCTCCTCTTCGTCCTCATCAAGAGTCTCTTTGGTTCCTCTTCACTTTCTGCCATTAGATTGGTATCATCTGCATATGTGACGTTGTTGATATTTCTCCTGGTCTTTATTCCAGCTTGTGATTCATCCAGCCTGGCATTTTGTATGATGTACTCTGCATATAAGTTAGATAAGCAGCGTGACAATATACAGACTTGATGTACTCTTTTCCCAATTTTGAACTAGTCCGTTGTTCCATGTCTGGTTCTAACTGCTGCTTCTTGACCTGCATACAGGTTTTGTCAGGAGACAGGTAGAGTGGTCTGGTATTCCCATGTCTTTAAGAATTTTCCACAGTTTATTGTGATCTGCACAAAAGCTTTAGCATAGTCAGTGAAGCAGAAGTAGATGTTTTCTGGAATTGCCTAGCTTTCTATGATCCAACGAATGTTGGCAGTTTGTTCTCAGGTTCCTCTGCCTTTTCTAAATCCAGCTTACACATCTGGAAGTTCACTTATGAAAGCAGAGCTGGGCTGGGGTCTCAGGCATGTCTTAGGAGCCTTGTTGCCGTTGTCCCCGTTCCTTCCCCACACTTGGATTTCAGTTTCCTGTGTGATGGTGCTCATGTGGTGACGGCACAAGTGGTGACGTGGGTCAGTTAAAGACCAGGCTGCCTGGAAGGGGGCACGTGTGTGTTGTCGTGGAGTCAGGACTGATCTACAGGCTACAGACTTGGGGCCCTAAAATGGGTAAGCAGAAATGAAACTCGCATGGCTCTGGTACTCTGTCTTTATGATGGAGAACTGACTGAGGTTCATGGCTGCCAATCCTGCCATCCAAGGGGGCCTCCCTGGCCCCAGTGGCAGCGTTCCGCTCATTCATAACTATGCATTGATCACATGTCGTGTGTGAGCCTGCGTCTGGCTCTGAACACGCAGAGATGGACACAGCAGTGCTCACACACACACTCTCGCTTCTGGGAGACATTTTCCCCTGACACTTTCTGCCCCCAGCCTCCTCGTCCTCGTTCATCCCATGGTGCCGCGCACAGAGCAAGGGCTTCGTCTGCTTACGTGATTGAATGCGGCTGGTGCTCCCACATGGAGAAGGGCAGAGGGGCTTCAGTGCAGACACTGCAGACAGTTCTCACCCTCCACGCACCGGCTGATGGGGTGCATAGAGCTCTTTTGGGGGCTGTCTGTGGTCCCTCAGACTCCCTGACACGCAGCCTTGGTGTCACCCATGCAGATATAAGCAGAGCAGGCCTCAGGAGCCCAGTTCAAACTGGAAGCTTCCCAGGGGAAGCAGTGTCTGTACCTGAGGAAGAGAAGGTGAGACTGTCTTCCAGGCAGAGGAAGTAAGCCGGGTGAAAGCCCCAAAGTGACAGGAGCGTGGGGCACGCGGGGCTGGGGCTCGTCAGTTCCCAGTCGTGGTCGGCGGGGCTGGCCTGTTCAGAGGGCCTGTGCTTCTAGCTGGGGAGGATGTTGCCAGGTTGTAAGCGTGAGTTTCACACCAGTGGTTTTGGCGGCCACCCCAAGGGGTGAGGGTAGAGGCCTGGAAAGACGGGAGGTCTCCGCCGCAACCGTGGAGGTAAGGAGGGTGGATTCACTCACAGAGCCCAGATCCCTGTGTACCCCTCGCTGCCCTCTGCCCCCAGCTGCTCCAGAAGGCACAGGGCAGGCCCCGTGAACCACAGGCAGCCTCCTGCCAAAACTAGTTCTGTTCCCACCCCGCCCCGGCGGCCCCCGGGCAGCCCCTGCCATGGGCCTTTAGTCACAGCACCAGGAGCTCTTCCTCTGCCATCTGCATGCTGCTTCCCCATCTCAGGCCCTCCTCACAGCCCGGCATGGCATTCATTTTCTCAGTGCCCCTCTCTTACTCGTCGCTCCCTCAGGTACTTGTTGAGTCCCTTCAGGGTGCCCAGGACTGTTCTCGGGCTTTGGGACAGGAGGGGAGCAAGGCAAGGCGTCCCATCTCATGGAGTTGGTGTCTTACTAGGGCCGACAGACCCTAACCCTGCATGCCCGCACACACACAAACACGCACACACGGTGTATCAGGTGGTGTTGCCTCTGTGAAGAGCAAGCAGGCATCCTGTCTCCCCTGGGAGGCCCGTCCTGGGTTTCTTCTCCAGGCGACTGTGTGTGTGTAGTGAAGTCTGCAGTGGCTAGGCCTCCCCTTTCAGGCCAGAGGTGCTTAGAGACCAGGGGCAGAAATCAAGCTCAGGCTGGCTTAAGCAAAAGTCAACATTTGCTGGCTTAACTGAAGAGTCAGGGTGGGAGGTGGGGTTAGCTTTGGGCCTGCTGACTGTGGGCCTCCAGACCAGCTCCCCTTGTGGCCCCTTGTGGCGACTCTCAGCCGCTGGCAGCCATGGGGTCCTCTCCCACCAGCTTAACAGCCCCAGCAGAACGAGGGGGCCCTCTCCCCAGCAGCTCTAGCAAAAGTCCAGGACCGGATTGTTGTCGGCTGCCCACAGTCTGGCCTCACTCCCATGCCTGCTGTCCCCTGGGGCCAGGGCAAACAGCACTCTCCTCCTCTGGCCTGGAGCCAGGGGTGTAGGAAGTGGGCCCTGGGCTGATCCCAGCTCCTTCCTGCGTGCCCCCAGCCTTGCAGCTGGCCTGGAGTGGAATGCAGAAGTAAGCCTGGGGCCCGAGCCCGCAGCCCTCCATGCAAGGGCTGTGGCAGGTGTCTGGCCTTCCCATGGTAGACGTGTGTGTATGGAAAAGCTGCTGCGCCCAGAGTCCCTGCAGCTCACCTTCACTGTCACTTACGGCCCAGCAGTCGGGCGCGTCCATTCTTCTCCATTCACCTGGGTTTGTGGAGCTCCACATCTGTACTGGAGACCCTTCCCCACCCCCCACTCCCCTGCCCTGTGCACTGCAGTCTCTGAGCTGTCACGCACCCCAGTGGTGGCAGCATGGGCTGTGCCTGGTGAGGGTTGTCGTGAATCTGACTTGGTGCCACAGAGCGAGGCAGCAGTCTCCATCAATGGGCAGTGGTCCCAGAGTGCAGGTGGGCGTCTGTCCTGCTCCTCTGTGGTGTGGGAGTTTTGGGGGTGGGGAGGGGACGGTGTCCTGTGACCATCTCAGTCTTGTCCCTTTGCTCCCCGCACGTCGTCCCCGCCCCCTCTTCTTTAATCTGGGTGGTCGCCATCGCCCCCTTCCCCACACTGTGGTCTCTCTGCTTTCCTCCCCCGCCCCCCTTCACAACTGCCCCACATCCTTCCATCGCCACCATCTGCCCCTCAGGCTGCCTGTCACCTCAGGAGCCGCCTTCACACCTGTCCCTGCATTCCGGGCTCTGCTGATGCTTCAGCACAGCCTCCTCTCCGAAGATACCCCAGACCCTGCCCTCCAACCAGATGCCCGCGAGTGCTCTCGTGGCCTGCGAACCGCCCATCGTGCCAGCTGAAAGCTGCTAGTGCAGGTTCCTGGTTCACCCCAGGACTCAGGAAGGGGAAGGGCTGTGCAGATGCGCCCCAAGTTCATAACAACACCCCCCTGCCCCCGCTTCCCATCCATGCCGCCCCTCCAGGCTTTGAATGCTGAGGGTGGCCCTGGGCACGCCCACAGGGCTCCGGTCCCAGACAGTGAGGCGGGTGGCCGCTCCGGCGGGTGGCAGAGGGCCAGGGACACGGCCCCTCAGACGGAAGACCAGTGGTGTTGACTGAGGATGACCGGCAGCAACCGTCTCATGGTCCAGTGACAGCGTCCCAGAGGGTTTCTCCCTTCAGCAGCAGCTGTGCAAGATGGACTTTTCAATCCTCACAACTCCACTTTTTTCCTAACGGGCACTCACTTAGACACCCAGGTGGAACGCAGAGCTGACTTGAGCAGAGTAATCCTCCAAAGAGCGTGTGCCTCGTGGGCAGAGGTTGTGGATGGGTTGCCCCTGGCCCCAACTGGCCTGCGGATTTGAAAACATAAACATTTTAAACCTAGGGACTTCCCAGTGACATGGCCATTCTAAGCCAGTCTCGAAACCATTTATTGGTGTGTACATGCACACAGAAAGATGCACATAGCTTAACACGCTGAACACTTTGCACATTTATATCAAGAAACTGTTTTCTAGGCGATCCGATGATCATTCGAGTTACTAATTTTGTATTGGATTTGTGTTTTGTTTTTAACATCACAAACAAATGTAGCTGTGTTTCCTGTATGAATATAGTGTTGGGGGAAAAAACACCGATTTTTCTTTTTGCAGAAAAGCCTGCCATTGCTCCGCCCGTCTTTGTGTTTCAGAAGGAGAAAGGACAAAAGGTAAGGGGCCGGTATGTTCTGCCATCCCCTCTTCCCTCACCGCCTCCCCCAGAACTCTTCCCCCAAAGGTTGCAGCGCCGCCTTGGGGCTCGGGGAAGAAGGCCCAGTGGCCTTAGGTTTACCACGGCCCAAGGTTAACAGAGGGTGCATGGACAGGGCTCAGAGACTCTGCTTTAAAAAACAGAGAGCGCTTCCATCTTATTTGCTGTAGAAGTACTGCTGTGCATCAGGGAACTTGGTAGAAGGGAGGGAAGGCGGGTGGAGAGCGGAGGAGAGGGAGCAGTGCTGAGTAAGGAAAAACAGGACCTTTAACGTTTTTAGGGGAGTTTTTGGCCCCAACCAACTTGGCTTAAGTGCACTTAGAATAATTGGCAGCCGGCTTGCATCATGTATTCACTACCTGTCCTTAAAGGTTGCTTTACATGTCTGGTTTGCTCTGTTGTTGGAGATACTTCGACAAATTCAGGGTAAGGAGCTCACGTGCCTGGAGGGCAGGGCGGTGCCGTCCTGTGTGGTCGTTCGTGGTGAAGTCATCAGGCCGAGTCCCTCCCCATGGCCCAGTATGGAAGGTCGCTGTTGTGTCTCCAGTTAGTCAGTGTTCTGTGGTGACCCAAGCATATATGGGGACTCCCCCTATTTGTCCAAAAAACATGAACAGTGCCTGTCCTCCTGCCCGGGGACAGCAGGTGTGATGTCATGACCACAGCAAGGTCTAAGAGTGACCCCTGCACTGCGTTGACACCGGTATTCTGAAATCTGTGTGATTCCGGAATCTTGTTAGTGAGGACAGCCTCTGAGGGGCCCCTCGGCTCTGGACTCAGGACCCACAGACCAGGTGGGCCCTCCTGAAGGTGGCTGGCTCTGAGCTTGGGGGCTGCCGGCAGCCGAGTCGCTGCCTGTAGACCCTGCCCCGTGGTCTGAGAAGAGGCCAGTCTTCTCCTTGTGAGCGGTGCAGCGTTCAAGGGCTGTGGGGAAAGTTGCTAGTGTGTGGGGCAGGGGTGGGGAGGAGCAGCGGCTGCCCTGAGGCCCCCCCACCCACCAGCACCCCCTTGCAGGATGTTTTCTGTGTTATCTGCTGGGCTTGTTCTTGCATTAATCTTTCCCATTGTCAGTTCTTCTGCTGAGGAATCAGAAAACACAAGAAAAGGTTCTTCCCTTTTTGCTTCTGTTTCCTGGGTCATGTTTTCTAGGTCCATCAGCCTCTGCTGCCTCCTCCCCATTGGGCGCTGACCGATACATGCGGTTTAGTTTCACGTGCTTTTATCATTTGTCCTTTGGAAGTTCAGCCTCTGTGAAGGGGCTGATGTGTTTCTTCTGGCTTTTAGAAGTAAATGTGTTTGGTTTCTGCTTCAGATATGAAAGTCACTTATTTTACTCAGGTTTTCCATAAAATCGGGACTTTCTAGAATTTTGAATTTTACTGTGATTCTCTTTTGAACCACTTTTAGATTATCAACAAACTAAGGGCTGCCACAGCTTTTTGTTAATAAAAAAATATTGGCGCACAGCCCCGCCCCATGTGTACCGTGAGTTGTGGCTGCTCTCTCACTGTCAACTGCAGCATGAAGGAGTTCGGACTGAGACCAGGCAGCCTGCAAAGTCAAACATATTTAGCATCTGGCCCTTTACAGGTTGCCAGCCCAGATTTGAAACAAGTAATTGAAATAGATAATTCTGAAGACTTTCCAACAATCAGCAGGATGAAACGCTAAAATATAATGTTTATTTGGCTGAATTTAAAATGCTTTTAAAATTACTAATTCTTACTTCAGTACTAGTTTCATGGTTGAGGTGGCTCTGTTGCTTTGTCCATTCAAAGGCCGAGTTACATTCATTACCTTCAGAAGGTCGATTCTAGTTAGGTGAACAGGGTGAGGTTGAACCTGAAGAGTCACCAACAGGATGCTCATCCTCATGAAAACGTGCACATCTGAATATTGACTCGGTGCCAGCTCTAAATGGGCTTCTAAAAATAGCTGACCGTGAACTCTTCAGAGTCCGGCTCTCCGCTGCTGTCATGCTTGTGTGACAAGATCACTGGAAAGGCGTGGAAAACCTCTGCAGCAGAGGCCGGGGGAGCCTGTGTGTTCATCAAGGCCCATCTCTGAGCTGCCGAGTGGGTGGCTGCCCAGTAGACACAGGGCCTCCTCCTTTCTCTGCTGCTTGTGACCGCTCGGGCATCAGGCAGGAAGGACACGGAGAGGCCCGGATAGCTGGCTTGGTGTCTGTGTGGCCCCCGGGGCCAGGGCAGGTGATGGTTGGGGGGGTCTGCAAGGAGCAGCCACCACACATTCCTGGGACCCTCCCTGTTTTCCCCATCTTGCCACTGTCTCAGCCCTCCCTGCTCACACCACAGGGTTGGGAAACAACAGGCTGCTGTTGTTTTTTTCCAAGTGAGCTTTTTTGCCCTTTTTCAACTTTCTGTTTTGAAATTTTTTTCAAGTCCTCAGAGAAATTAAAAGAATGGTACCGTGGACCCTTGGGAAGCCACCTTGGGTAGGCTTCACTGTTAACATCTTTATCATAAATGCTAGAAACACTCAACTCTAAGTTGTGCCCCCGATGGTTCTCCCTTAAAGACAGTTGTCTCCTTGGAATTCCCCAGTGCCATGGTCACGCCTGAGAAAGTGATCGTTAATTCAGAAACATCCTGTAATATATTTAGTCCACATGGAAATTGTCCTAAGTGTCACCCACACAGCTATTTTCTGAGCTACTTTTGGATCCACAGAGATCAAGGAGTCCCATTGTCAGCTGTGGGCCCACTCCCGTCTTTCAGTGGGTAATCCATAAACCACCAGTGCACCCACGGGATGTACTCCAGGAGCCCCCATTCCCCTTCAGAGGCCCAGCTGTTATTACCAAATCATGATCGAGATAAAAGATTTGAAACTGAGAAGAAGAAAGTTAGGCTGCCAGCCCAGGCATTTTTGGTGCTGGTTTGGTGACAAAACCACCTAGGATTTTCTATTTGTCCCCTAGACAGGGTTCAAGTTGCCTTCACAGCAAACCACAGATCGATGGCCTGCCGGTGGCATCCCTGGGTCTTGGGAAGAGTCCTCAGATCCTCCCATCATTCTATGTTAGAGCCTCGGGCAGCTGGAACTGCAGTCTTGATGCCAAAACCCAGGCCAAGAGCCAAGAGCCTTTTCTGTCGCTTCCCTATGCCCGAGCTTCCTCAAGATGGCGCTCTTCACAAGATGCTTGCGTTTCCACACATTTGTGTTTTAGGGGCAAAAATGAAACCTTCTTAACTGCCTTGAATGGAAACAGTTTTTTTCTTTTAAACAGGAAGAGAATTTGAATCTCCTTCTGTGGGTTGTTACACTGTTTGTGATAACTGAATGTTCCTTTCATTTACTTTATCTTCCAAATATTTGTTAATCTGAAGGCAGAAGACTTTGGGGTTGCCCTGGCAGAATAAAGACAAAAAGCAGTTCAGTAAAAAGACAAAAAGCAGTTACAACAGCAGTCTGCTGTTGGGCAGAAAGCAGAGTGTCACTGACAACACTGGGAGCTTACTCTGTGTAACAAGCGTATTCTGTGTGTGTGGCTTTTTGTCAGCCACGTATATTTTAGAATGATGTTAAAGGCTGCCAAAATCCCAATGTCTGACTTTAACAAACATGTTGGAAACCTACAGGCTCTGCCTTGTCTCTTTAGAGCTTACTTTCCTTGTCCAGCAGAAGTACTCAGGGCCCTAGGAGAAAACGCTGCGATGGCATTTGTATTTCTTTTTGTTTCTCTGATGTAGACTTCATCTCTGCCATGCTGCAAGGGCATTTGAACTTCTCTGTTCGAAAAGTGGGGATTGTTTTAAAAATCCTGGTTGTTCTGAATACAAATGGACAGTTTCCCATGGAGCTCTGGGTTCCATTTCCTCCGGCTGGGTGTTCAGTCTCTGGCCATAAAGCAGCACAGGCAGCTGTGGGGCCACCTTGGCACCCAGCACAGGTTTGAAGAGCGGCCTGGGAAGGAAGGCCTTTACATCTGTGGATCTCCCTGCATAAGAAGAGTCCATTTGGGTGACCTTTAGACATGTGGATGTGTTAACGTCCTGTAGCTTTTGCTTTTCCAAGAGTGTTTGAACGTTCTCTTAAATCTTTTATGTAGTTGCTTTCATCCAGCAGGCTCACACATTTAAAAATAGTCCCAAGTCTTGTCTAAAGAGGGTTCAGTCACTTCACAGGCAGGAGGAATGTGGCTGCATCTACAGGGAGACAGGGTGGCCCCATGGTCATTCAGTTCACAGTGAGAGAAACCTGTGGTGGATGATGCCAGGTGGGAGGTTTGGGGACCAGAGCCCACCTGTTGGATCCAGGCCACCAGCTTTGCAACAAGCCACTTCCATGGAAGCCCCTCCTGAACCCCAAGAACCACCTCAAAGGATTCCAGCTTCCCCTTACCCTGGCTGTTTTCTAGATAAGCCCTGGCCCAGGAGACTCCTAGGCCAAGGGGCTCCCTCCTTCAGCCAGACTTCCACCCACCTGCCCGCTGATATAGAGCCGGGTCTCTGTGTCTCCGCCAGCTTGCTGGGTCCCCCACACTTGCACTCACTGAGCAGGGCTGCGTTCCCTTCCTCTCAGGTTCATGGGCAGATGGGAGGTGCTGCCGGGACTGCAGCTCCTGCTGAAGCCCCAGCCCCAGTGGCTAGACACGGTGCTGGCACTCGCCCCCTTCCCGAGTCTGTCTGAGTTTGGGCTTACTAACCCCAGGGGCAGTTTGGTCATCGAGACCGTTTCTTCTTGACTGCCACCAGCAGAGGAGCTGCATACCGCAGAGGCCACCTGCCAGTTTTCAAAACATGAGTCCGACTTCCTGGACACCTTAGGAAGTGCCAAGTCTGACAACAGCCAGCCCATGTTCACCGCCCTTCTGACAGCGTGGAGGGCCGGCTCTCTTGGCCCAACATCCATCCCGGGCAGGAGCGTCAGGAGATGCTCAACCTTTGAATCCCACCCCCTCCCCTGCCCCGCATTGCAGGCTTTGTTTACATTGAAGGAAAATTGTCTTTTTTGCTCCCAGTCCTCTGCAGAGCAAAAAGACTTGTCGGATTCGGGAGAGGAGCCTCGGGGGGAGGCTGAGGCCCCCCACCATGGCACGGGTCAGCCCGAGTCAGCTGGTGAGCATGCCCTAGAGCTTCCTGCCCCCGCTAGCGCTTTGGCCCGCGCGCCCGAAGCCCAGCTTCTTCCTTTTCCACGAGAACTGGCAGGGGTAAGTCCGCCTCCCCCTGGCATCCCCCAGCCCCGGGCTCCCAACCCAGACCGGCCCCTCCCTCTCGGCCCTCGCATCCAGACCCCGGGTCGTCAGCAACTGGCGATAACTGAAAAGATGACAGGGCTCTCTTCAGTGCCCTTTAATTCCTGCTGCCAAAAAAGTCAGGAAGGAGCAAGTCCCCTTCTACACTGAGACTTTGCTAGTCAGGGGAACATTTATCCATAGCCTGAAGCTAATCCTGTTATTGAAAGAAGCAAGGGGTCAGAAGAGGAATTGAGGATCAGGGTAGAACTCTCCACCTCCAATTCAGCCCCTTCTCCCTCCTTCCGTTTTTCCATCTCTCCCTGAATTTGGGCTTTCAAGTTCAGTATCTTAGAAACACGAAAGGCTCCAGCTTCCTTGATCTGTAGGAAAAGGTGTCTAATGCCTGTTGCTTTGCAAGACCGGTTGTGTCTAGACTGTGGTTGGGCTGTGAACTGCTTGTCTTCAATCAAAGCAGGAAGAAGAGCCGCTTCCTTTGAATCGGAGGGAGCCCCCTGAGCCCTTTTTCTTTGTATTCAGAAGGCTTTGGAAGATTATAGGTGGAGAAGACTGTGAACTCTCCAGAACAAGAAATGTCTGGAGTTTTTGGAGTTTGATAAATCGGGAAAGGTAAACATTATCCTCCATTCAGGATTGAAAGCTTCATCCTCTCGGTACCTAGTGGCAGAGCCCCCCCGTTCTCACATCAGGGAAAAGTGACAAGAAAACAGGATCCCACCCCACCACATGGCACCCAGGCCGTCACAGCCCAGCCCTCTCCCAGACCTTTAGCGGTTTCTCGTGTCACAGCGCCAGTCTCCCATGTCCTTGAGGAAACCATTGAAATTCAGCTAGAGCCACCAGACCCTGGGATTCGCAGAAAGAAGTGATGTTCAGCCAAGTGAGGCTGGAGCCAAATTTTAACATTTGGAGGAATCTGTGTGTGGTGGGAAAAGAAGAACCAGTCTGTCCCTGTTGGGGGCTGTCCTTCGTGGCCTGAAAGGGGGCTTGAGGGAAGGAAACCCAGGAAAGATTCCAATCTGAGGTCCCCACCTGAGAGCCGAGAGCAGGAATTCAGAGGCAGTCATTTTCTGGGTTGGGCAAGAGCAGCTGCTGGAACCTTCTCCTGAGTCGGGCGACAGTAGGCACCTGTTCCCAGTTCCCTGAGAACAGGTGGTCTTTGTGAGGATCTGCCCAGGAAACGGGCCCCTCCGCTGCTGTCCAGATTGAAGAGCGCAATTTACTGAGAATCTCCATCTGCAGAGGTCGAAGGTTTTCCATGGAGGGTGGCTAACAGTAGAGGTGGTATCACTGCAGCGGCCCTTCCAGAAGCCAGGCTCTTTCAAAGCCCTTTCTGCTAATGCCTGTGAGGCAGAGCCTCGCCTTCTCCCTGTGGCCAGTCCAGACGCCGATTTCCAAGGCCTGGTCAACAGAACTCAGCTTCTCAATTCTTGTGGACTGTGGGTCAGTAGCTCTAATTCTGAGAAATGCAAGCAGTGCCCAGACTGGAAGATGCAAGGTCGAGGGCGATGAAGATGGTTGTTATGTTGCTGTGGGAGAGGGCCTGGGGCGGAGGGGGGTTGTTTCTGAATGTGCCAGCTTCATGGACAGGGCCATGCCTGTGACACACACCCGTGCATACCCTGTGTGGTTTTAACATGGGTAACTACGGGCATCCCTGGTTCCATCAGAAGTCCCAGCAGTGCCGCCATCACACCGTTTGTGACAGCTCTCAGCCATCCGGGGCTTTTTCTGCTTTTTGGGCACTAAGACACAGTGAAGTTTGTTTTTTAGGTCAATTAGGGTGTGGATAGACCCCGATCTCAGCTACTTCCTGGGCTGAGATGTTTCTGTGGTGAACTCGGACTAGCTGCTCTTGCTTCAGAGCAGATTTGGCGCTCACTCTGTCTCACTCTGGAGTTCAGGAAACACCCACCCACATGTAACCTGACAGGGCTCATCCCTCACGTTCAGTCTGTTCATTCCACGATCCTCTGGGGGATTGTAAAGCTGCGACATATCGCACACTGAATTGTTGCCTATAAAGGGCCCTTATCATCTTTCAGTCTCATCAGAGCTCTGGCCATTGAAGCCCCAGGACCAGGAAACAGTCTCCTTATATCAGACCTCCTGGCTCTCATAAGGCAGCTTGAGGGACACCAAACCACATCCAGATTAACTTTTCCATTTGACCCGGAGAAAGTGTTCCCAGTGCTCACCCCGAGCCTGGCTGAAGTCTGCCAACTGAAGTCCTGAGCCAAGGCACTACCGAGCCTGAAACATGTCACGAGCCCCACTGGGAAACCGAGAGAGTCTGGACCAAGTCTCCTGGCCGGTCCGCTCCCCCTGCCCATCCTCTGACGTGTGCACGGGGTTTACCACTCGTCCGCCCCTGCCCAGCAGTCACATCTTTGGAGGCTACCTCATTTTCTTTTTTTTCAGTGTCTGCCTTTTTGGTAAAAATCTCTGAGCTGGTTCCCTGAGTCAAAAGATAAACTGTGGTGAGTGGGCCTGTGGTCCACATGAAGGTGAGGCTGCCTCAGCAGGTGCCTCCCTCAAGTGGATCTTCATCCAGGTGTCCATTTTCCTGCAGTCACAGCAGCGGACTTTGTAGCTGGGCTGTCCAGATGGGGGTCCATCCAGCTGGGGATCACTTGAGTCCTCGGCAGGCCAACTGGTATTTCCTGGAAGGAATGTCCCTGATATGGTCTTGATTTCTCATCTTTTCCAGGAGGCCAAGAAGGTAGCGCTGCTCACTCCTGCTCACTGCCCATCTGTCTTGTGTCTCAGCTTCTTTGACACAGCTTCCTGCTCCCTCCCTGCCTCCTGGCCTGGCGCCCTTGTACCCTCAAGGCCACCCATGCCAGGAAGCCTCACAAAAGCCCTGTCTGGGGAGGGTGCAACCCTCAGTAAACTGAATACTAGTAATTGTCATGGATTCAGCCTTTACACAAAGGACAGGAGCTTCCCGGTCCTGTGGCCCTGTCCTGGGTCAGGTCTTCCCTCCGGTCTTGTGCTTGGTGACAGGGACGTATGCCCTTCACAGGACCAGCTGCTTCTTCCCAGGGTTCCAGTGTGTTCTCAGAAGGTGGGCTACCCTGCCCACCCCGCCCACTGATGTGGGACCCACGGCCACTGTGAAGTGCGCAGTCAGGGTGCCCTGATCTGAGTATCCCTGAGGTGTCAGCCTGAAGCCCATGTCATCAAGAGGCGGCTTCTGCTGTGGAAAGAAGCAGAGAAGGACGTGGGGCTTCCACACCCCACTTCCATCCTGACTGCTCCCCCAAATCACAGATCCTGAGAGCCTGCTCTCAAGACCCTCCTCACAGTCATCCGTGAAGCAGCGGCTCCCAAGCTTTGGGCTACAGGTTGCTGGGCCTGACTCCACGTGTGCGCCAGGGAGTGGAGGGCAGCACGAGGCACCAGGCCTAGACAGCAAGCTCAGGCCTTCTCTGGGGGGGCCACGGGGTGGGGAGAGGCCAGACTGCAGCCCACACAGGCAGCAGAGGGGGCTTTCCAGCATGAAGCAGCATCTCCCAAGGCAAGCCGAAGCGACTTGACTTCTGGCCTCCTGCATCCTCATGCTGGCTCCTGTTGAGGAGAATTACTGGTGTGACTGTCTTCACTGCTTCTAAGTCAGCTGTTTCAGACCCCACAGGAAGTCCCAGCAGCTTCTGAAAGGCTCTCCCAGTGGAGGAGTCTCCTGTGTTGTCCTTCACAGGCCTTCACCTCCCAGCCTGTCCAGGACCAGCAGGCTGGCCACACGCTTGTGGGATGGTTCTGAGCCTCAGAGCGTGGGCTAGAGGGTCTCCTGGGGGCAGACATCTGGGAGTGTCTTGTCTTGTCTCGCCAGGTGCCCTTTCTTCTCCAGGTCACCAGGGGGGCTGTGGCGGAGGCCGGGGCTCCATCTGTGTAGTAGATGCTTGCTGAGCAAGTATCCGAGGTATTGGGGGTGTGAGTCGTAAGCCGGACAGACAGGGCAGGGCCTCGTGGTAGCAGGAGGCACACGGCAGATGGGCACGCCAGAACACTCCCACTGCTCTGAAGCTCAGAGCAGGATTGAGGCCCGAGAGAGGCTGGAGGATGGGGGCAGAGGAGCTGCTTTCTCTGGCTGGGGCATGGGCTGGCACGTGAGCTTGGATTCACCCTGGAGGTGGTCAGGACAGCTGTGGGAGCAGCACGCACGCGGAGGAGGAACATTGAGGCAGAAACAGTGTCACCATGTTCAGAAAACATGAAGGAGACAGCAGGGCTGGAGTGTGATGGACAAAGGGGACCTAGTGTAGCAGGAGGCCACTTGGAGTCAGCAGTCCTAGGCCCCAAGAGGCAGGGCTGCAGCCCAGAGGTCTGGGTACACTTCTGGGGAGAGGCTCCTGGTTCCCATCAAATTCTCAGGGAGACCCGGATCCCTGAGAGGTTTGGGGTGTCGCTGGCAAGGATAAGCAAGTTAACTGTTGTTAAAACTTAACAAAAGTTTTAAAAACTGACAGGACAAAGGGAGTCCAGAAATCACAGTCTTCAACCAAAATGGAATGAAATTAGAAATTCCTAGCAGGAGCCCTGGGGCATTCACACCCATGGAAATTAGCCAGCGAAGGCACAGCCAGACGGGGGCCTCTTGAGATGAAGGTGGCAGAGGACCGTCTTCCCCAGGAGCTGAGGACCAGGCGGACGATCCTGGCCTTAGAGCTGTCAGGGCCCCCACTCTGCATACAGTCGGGGAGGGGGGGGCGCGGTATGTGACTTGGCTGCTTCTCCGTGGCCAGTGAACGCCTGGGATCCAGGTGCTTCCCCTGAACACATGGTAAGCGAGCCCCACTGCGCACTGGGGCCAGACTCTTCCGAAACTTAGAGGCTAGCAGGGGACCGGGAGCGAGAGCCATGGAGAAGAGCAGCGAGGGGTGAGGCCACAGCCTGAGAGATTTGCACCTCGGTGGTGAGGGAAGGGAGGATGTTGGTGAAAGAGCAGTGTCTACAGGAGCTGTCTATTTCCAGGTCCCAGGAAGCCACAGGTGCCACGGGCCTCGCAGGCTGCCTGCCATGGGCAGGTTTAGTAGAGTTGAAATGCTTGTTGAATGAAAAGGGGGAAAGAAGTTGGGGGCAGGACAGCAGGGGTAGTCTGGGGCTGGCAAGACCTGCTATAGAGGAACAGCAGGAGGAGACCTGGAGACTGTGCCTTCACAGTGTCACCCAGGGCAGGGGCGTCCGAGAGGAACACCTGATGTCAGGTGTCGCGGGCTCGGCTCTTGGCTGTCTGTCAGCTGCCAGCCCAGACCTGTTGGATGACAGCGCTGCAGCGGTCCCTCTTTCATCGGCCCCCCACGGTGAGAGGGTGCCCCACCCTGGTCCCTCCTGTCCACAGTGTCCCCTGAGCGCTGAAGCCCTGCTACCCTGGGTGTGACACTCCCAGAGGTGAGCTTGCCGGGAGGGTGTGGACGGTCCAGGTGTGAGGCCACCCATCGACCCCTGCACCTTCATCCCTGCAGAGGAGGCACTGGCCGTGCTACCTGCCAAGCTTGGAGGTGGAAACCTGGGCCAGTGAAGCCCAGGTTCCACATTCAAGACACAGCCGACTAGCTCTCAAGCCTTTGAGGGGGAGTTGAGCGCCTTCACGCTCCAAGCCCTGACCACTGTCTTGTGTTCATCTAGTGCCTGCCTGCTGAATCCTCCAGGGGTATTTTATTTCGTTTTGAGCCCCATGGTATGTTCACAGTTGCCCAGGACCCCTGAGCCCGTCGTGTTAGGAGGGTTTCGCATTTCCCGAGCATTTTGATAGATGGTCTCTGATGGGGGCGGGGGTGCAGTTTGGGGTCCTATTCTTACTGCCCTTTAGGACTTGTCTGCAGACTCTGCCTACTGCCTCTTTTTGTCCAGCCTACAAGCTAGGATGCTGTTCAGGTTTTTAAAGGATTGTAAAAACAGAATATACAACGTGTGGCCTGAATGGGGCCTGTGGAGCTGGCCCTTTACAGGAAAGCACCGCCCTAGTGCTCGGGGGTCCAGCCTCCTCATCTGCAACTTCCTTACTTTACAGCTTTTACCCAGCCCCGCAGCCTGCAAAGCACTCTCACATGCACCGTCTCATTTACCCCTCGCAGGCTCACGGCGGGCGGCCCTTGTTCGGCCAGGCCTGACCCTGAGGGGCTTTTCCGAAATGAGAAAGTTGGCTCCCCTGCTTCCCCGCCAGCCCAGCTCCCGTGCGTGGAGCTGGGGGGGTGTTGACCCCTCGGAGTTGGCTGTAGGCTGCTTAGCTCTGGAGAATCGCAAGCCCCTGAGAGAGGCTGTGCCTCCCCAGATGGGCCAGGGGCTCATTTTAAGCTCTTAATTGCTAGCCATTCGTGTTCTGAAACCAGAGTGTGTTGGGGAGGAAGTTCTTCATCCACCTCTCTCTCTCAGCTTGTGATTGTTCAGCCTGTCTGTAGTCTGAGCCACTGGACCCGGGGATTTTGTGCTGCACACTTGGGCCCATGGCACCGAAGCACTCAGCTACTCTGCAAACAGCAGCCTCCCTGGAAATTGGGTTTCACACCAGGGGAGGCGCCAGTGACGGGGGCCCCCGACCCAGTGTCCGCGGCCCTGCTGCCCTTCGGGGTGGACAGGTCACCTCAGCAGAATGGATTGGGGTGGGGGGTGCGGGGGACATGCCAGTGAGCTGTACCCAGTGGAGAAACTTGGAAACATCCTGTGCCAGGAATATTCCCAGCTGTTAGGAGTCCTTGGCACGGGGCCTGGCGAGGCGGGGGCAGGAGGTTCATGGGAGATTTTCAGGCATTAGGTTGAAAGTCTGTGACCCGGGCAACTGAACCCCGGCCCCACAACCTTGGTGCCGCATTTCAGGATCCATTGGTGGCAAAAGTCAGGAGCCACCAGGCCGTGTGGCCCTCTCTGATTGCCCTGACGTGTGTTCTCATTTCAGAGGTCAGCAGGCGGCTCCAGCCCCGAAGGTGGAGAAGGTGAGGATATCTCTCAAATGTTTCACCAGCTTTGGTCGTAAAAGTGAAAGCAGCCTGATTTTTCTTCTCCTCCTCCTCGTTTTCTGTAGATTCTGACCGAGAAGATGGAAATTACTGCCCTCCGGTCAAGCGAGAAAGAACATCCTCTTTAACACAGTTCCCGCCATCACAGTCAGGTAACAGTGGCAGCCCTTTACTAGATGGTGAAGTGGCCATGTTTGTAAGCCTGCTCTCCCCCTGCAGTGCTTCCCACCCCTTGTTTGTCTCCAGTTACGGTCAGCCTGAGGCTCGGTTTTTTTGGGGACGGGAGTAAGACTGGAGCTTGGCTGAGCACAGCGCAGACACCCTCATCTGAATCAGTGACACAGAGGGGTGGGATGTCAGGGCCATGTTCGGGGCTCTGACCATTAAGTACATGTCGACATTGTAAGGGCTGTTGGCTATGTGTGGACTGAAGGTGTGGGAAATGGATGGTCCCCCTCGCCCTTCAGCAGTGATCCTAGTGCCCAGGGGGGCCAATTGAGAGGCCCAGACACACAGACAGTAGTACATGGGGAGTCCAGCAGCCCTGGCAGACACTTTGGTGGTGGAATGGCATGAACTCCCCAAGGAAGGGAGCTCGGGAGAGCCCAGACAGCTTGGCCAGGCTGGGCCCAAGGGCTTGGAGCCTCCGGGCCAGAACCAGGTCTCTGCATACATGGAGGCCAGGAGACCAGCTGGTGGATAGATGCGGGTCCCTGGGATAGAGGGAGATGCCGGGGCTGCTGCGTGGGAGCTCTGCAAGCCTGGGGTTGCTGCTGCTCCTTGCAGGGTCCAAGCTGCAGCGGGGCCCCCGCTCCCCACCCAACCCGAGCATTGCCCAGTGCTCTGCAGCACTGGCTCTCATATCCCCTCCGGCTCCCAAGCCTGAAGTTCAGTCTTGGGAATTCACATAAAACATTTACAGCTGTGAGCCCTAAGGATGTCACTTTAGGAGAGAAAAGACTCTTGGAAGAGTCTTGGAAGCTTAAAGAGTACGTGAGCGTCCTCTTACATCACCCCTGTGACACACCTGAGTCCATGCCTGTTCCCTGAACACTTGCCTTGGGCACAGCTGAACCCTTTTTCACAACTGCTGGAGACACTCCCCACTCCAAACAGAGGTGTTGTAGTTTGCATTGAGGAGTCCTCCGGACAGCTTGCAGTCCAGGCTGGGGGCCCATCCTTTTTCTTAAGGCTTTCTGCATGCTTATTGCATGGGCCTTATTAATAGGAGGGGCAGCATCAACTTCTGGGCCGTAGATCACATTCCTTCCCGCTCACTGCCCACTGCTAAGCCTCACTTTTTCCATCAAGAAAGTACAGCGGAGAAGAGAGGTGGTAGTCTGTGCTCTGGCTGTAGGCTGGAGAAACCAAGGACCAGTAGACATTAGTCCTGTCCTCTAGTGCAGTCTCCCCCTAGGGTTTAGGTTAGCCATCAGGCATGTAAAGACAAGTGGTCTGTGTTCAGAGGCCTTGGCTTTGTACTGCACTCTGATTCCACTTAGCTGCCTGCAGCCTGCACAGTTCGGTCTTCAGCCCCACTGCGTTGTTACCTGGCCTGCAACCAGGGAACCAGTTGCTTTTGTAAGCTTCTAAAAGGGGGGGTGGGGGGAGACTGCAGCCAGCTGAGCCCTGACTGGTGATAGGGAGCAGGGCCTGGGGCTTGGCCCTGGGGAGCGACTGCTTCCCTCCTGGCCATCCTCTTGGGGAGACATGGGCAAGGCAGGACGCCACAGCAGACCAAAGTCGACAGCTCGGTATCAGGCAGATTCAGGCTGTTGCACTGGACACCCATGTTCTGAGGCTGTAGAAGAGTCCCGGGGTTTCACTTTTGCTAGGGGTGGCTGAAGGCCAGGTTCATGATGCTGACCCCCCACCCCCACCCCCTGCAACCACAGTGGGGCCTGGAGATGACCCCTCAGGTGGGAGAAATGCTCCCAGGCATGTCTGTCCTGCCTACTCACGCTGTTTTCCTGTTGTTCCTCCCCTGCCTGCACCTCCTTGTCGACAGTATCCAAAAACAATGTTTTTATGCCATCCACCTTCTGCGAGCCATCTGCAGGCAACTCTGACTCAGAACCAGGTGAGCCTTCGCGTGCCTTTGCCCTTTACCAGCTGGTCACTGGGGGTGTCCTGGGATGAAAAGCACTTGCTCTTGTAAAACCCTATCTTAAACGAGGGCAAGCAGTTGGGAATCAGCACTCTTTTTCGGTTCATGTTTCCCAACTTTCTGCAGGCAGATTTAGAATCCAGTGTGAGGCAGACTTGTGTGACCCTTAATTTCGGTTTCTGCGAGCAGAGGCTAGTTACAGGGAGCTTCAAGTTCCTTTAAAAAAAAAAAAAAAGACAAAAGCAAACACACACAAAAAAAACCCACAGTGAAATATAGTACTCGTTTTTCAAAATTTTACACAAATACTGTACCTCTATGTCATTAAAAACTCGGAAATACATAGAGTGAAAGAGTCCTCCTGTTCATTTCCCACCACATTGCCATCCCCATGGTCACTACTCTGAAGTTTATGTAATTTTCCAGGCTCCTTCTCTGTGTATTAAATTCTCACACTGACTAATATTACTTAGATCTGTTTAGATAAATATATTTAATCACAGCTTTAAGACTTTACGGCGAATAGCTTGATCCTTTCTGAAGAATGTGGAGCCTTTTCCTTTTTCGGTCCTTCACTAGAGAACCAGCTCCAAGATTTCCTGAAAGTTTCTCCCGCGTGGCTGGAATTCCTCATAAAAGATTTAATGAGCGAACATAACCATCCGAATTCTGTAACCCAACCCGCCTTGTATAAATTAACTGCTGACTTCAAAAGCAAAGCGAACTCAGTCAGCCTCTGGCACAAGGGCGCCGTGGAGGGAGAGGCGAGCTGTAACTTTGAGGGTTGATTTGATGGCACTGTTTCAAGCAGTTGAATTTGTTCTGACTCCAGAGGCAAACTGTTCTGAGCTGACCCCTTCACGGGGCCTGAAAGGGAGCTAGGTGGCTTTTTGTTTTTTATTTATTTGGCCACACTGTGGCATGGGGGATCTTAGTCTCCCAACCAGGGCTTGAACCCGAGTGCCCTGCATTGGAACGTGGATTCTTAACCACTGGACCACCGGGAAGTCCTGAGGAGCTTGGTTCTCAGGGTTCCTTGAGGAATGCCTGGGCACCAGCCTAGTGAGTCCCGTTCAGGACTGTGGGGGCCAGGTCATAAAAGGTCAACCCGGTCCATGGTCCCCTCTGTGGTGTGTAGTGGGGACAGACTGACCTGTCCACTCTGCATAGTGAACTGCTCGGCTCCTTGCCCGCCTGCCTTTTAATTTCTTTTTAGCTTTTATTTTGAAAGAAAGAAAAAAATGTAACCGTTAAGAATAATAAGGTACTTCTCCATCCCACTACCTAGAGACCCCATTCAATCTTCCCCCAGGCGCCCTAGTGATGAGCAAAGGCATCCCATTCTGGCTCATGCGTCACGCATCTGAAACAGTCCCTCAGCCTTGCCTGGTTCTGTCAGTGGGCTGTAGTCTGTTGTCACTAGCATTTATTTTAATACACAGATCTTACTTCCACCATCAGTTTATTCTAATGGTCCCCGATCTGGCTGGCGGGAGCCCCGTCCGTTTCTGTGCTCTCCGGCCATGTCCCCATCCTTCTCTTGAGCATGCCCTTTTTTTATTGTCAGAAGGGCTTCTAGGCTCATCATCTTCTGTCCCTGTCCTCAGGGGGGGTCCTGGCTCTGCTTAGTGGAGAGTGATTTCTTGGAACCAAGATTTGAGTGTTCAGCCCACTGGTCACTGTTGGGGCTGTTGCTGCTCCCAGGCCATCTCTGTACCCACAGTTGGGAACACACATGGCTGAGAGCACATACATACATATACGTGTGTATATATACATGGGCCTCTTCATACACAGGCACTCACGTCTGCATGTGTTCTGTGTCTCTGCTGCTCTGTCTGCGTGTATAGGTCACCCCAGTTCATGGGGATACTTCCCGTCCAGTGCCAACAAGGTTCATTGAAACCCTCCTTCATACTTCTGCCTCTTTTCTGACAGTGAGAAACCTGCTCCCTTTCTGCTCAGTGTGTTTACTTGTTGCTTGAGTCCCCACCAGGGAACCTCCTCTCAGATTCTCTCTAGCTTCTGGTCCGCACTAGGCCAAGCTCTGATCTGTCTTCCTGGTTTAATCCAAGAGCTCCTGGAATTCCCTTGGGAGCCAGTGTTGCCCTCTCAGACATCACTTGGGGTCTCTCTGAGGCAAGGCAGAGAAACCTGCTTGCTTGGGTGTGATTTCAGAGGAGGGCAGAGGCTGCCCCATTAGGAGTGCTGCCCTCCCACAGCAGGCTCATGTTGTGGGGCTACGCGTGTGCCCTTGAGAGAACACGGGTGCAACAGCCCGTGCACTCCCATGACCCAGGCATGCATGCTAGGGCTCTGACCGCCTCTCCATTACATGCTGACCTTGCTGCAGAGGCCACAAGCAGAGAGCACATTTATTCTAGTGCAGATGGGGGCCCTGCCCCGTAAGTATCCCCCTGCTGCTCTGGGCCCACCATCTTTCTGGTGGGCCCCATCTTTCTGTCCAGTGTTCCCAGTCACGTGGAGGCCTGTGGTGTGTCAGTTCACCACAGCATTCAGGGTGGATGTCCTGTGCATCCATGGGTGGGGCAGCACCAGGCCAGGTGGTGGTGGTCAGTGTCTGTGACTCTCCAGGCTTGTTGCCCCTGCTCAGGGTCAACCCCGAGGGTTAGCTTGTCAGAGCGGAGTGGTGAATTGTAGTCGCGGTATGAGCATTGCAAAGCCAGCTCCGAGGACCTTCTAAAATTACCTCAGTTGTGAATTTTATCTCAGCCTTTTTCAATGTTTCTAAATTGCCAGTTGTCATCTTAGTAACCCTGAGCTCTGGCAATGTAATTCAGCATCTCCCTACCCAAGAGGCCCACCTGGCAGCGTGTTTTCCCCCGCATCCTGGGCTGTCTGGCTGTTGAGGCCTCTCTCAGGAGGGACCCCAGCTCCAGCAGCGTGGGCTTCCATGTGCTGACCAGCAGGGGGCCCCACTTTTGTGGACTTATGTTTGCCTGAGGAGAGCACAGGGCCCTCCTGCCTGGTGGGGAGTTCTGATTTGATTTTCGTACCTAATTAATTGTGTGGCCTGATGAGTTGTGTTTGTGGTGGTGTTCCTGTGTACAACTGAAGGGTTTCTAGTGCAGCTGAAGGGTTGTATACCCACCACCATAATTAATTTTAGGATGACTGTCACTCCAAAAAGAGACCCTGTGCCCTTGGGCAGTCACTCCCCACTTGGTCTCCCCAGCCTCTGGCCACCATGAATCCACTTTCTCTCTCCATGGATTTGCCTGCCCTGGACATTTCATGTGAATAAAATCGCACAGCTGTTGCCTTTGGGGACATCTTTCCATTTCTTTAAGTCTTTACTTTCTTCCAGCAATGCTTTATAGTTCTTATTGGTTACATTTATTCCCAGGTACTATATTCTTTTCCATGCAGTTGTAAATGGAATTATTTTCTCAACTTCATTTTTGGGTTATTTACTGCTCGTGTCTAATAACATGCACATGATTTCTGTGTATTGAACTTGTTCCCAGCGACCCAAAAAGTTTTTTTTCCTATGGGTTGGACCTTAGCACAAAAGTGAGGCCATCCCTTGACTTTTCTGGGGACAGACGGTCCTGTCGGAACCACGAGGCTTTCTACTGACCCTTCTGGTCAGGAGTGGCGTTAGCCTGTCTCCGCCACTCCCTAAGATGGGCCAGTCACAAAGATGCAGAATGAAGGGGTCTGGGTGCCCCAGTGGCTGAGCTGAACCGGGCTCTGAGCCTTGGCTGTCAGTCCCAGACCCCATCCTCAGAAGGCCCTGCCTCCTCCTCCTGGGCCTTCCTGACACATCTGGAGAGAGCAAGCCTGCTATCGGCCTCCTTTGATCTTTAACCACAGAAAACGTGTCTCATTTCCCGGACATCTGCTGTAATGGCAGGACTTTTCCCAATAGTATTTGTGCCCTCCTGGACAGGGAGCTGGGTCCCAGGGAGAGCCAGTCTTCTGGGGCTCCCTGATTGTGCTTGGGGCCCTCAGCCGATGCAGGCAGCTGGGTAGACCGGCGGAGGCCTGACCAGTCCTGCATTCACCCTGCAGTCTCTGCTGCCGGCGGTTCTCCTAGAGCCAGCACTGCCTGCGGCCCTCCAGCCTCCTCCCTGGGCTGCCCCACAGACGGGACTGGACCAGCCTCTGCTTCTCTGTTTGAACTTGGAAATATTTGCCCTGGTTCTCCAGGCCCACAGCCACTGAAGCCCAGACTGCAGGCCTTGGCCGCCCCAGGTCCCTCCAACTTTGTTGCCCTGCCCCAGCAGGCCCACTTTTCATCTTTTGTCTTGTGCTTGTAGAGGAAAAGAGCAGTGGGTTCCGGTTGAAGCCACCGACGCTGATCCATGGCCAGGCCCCCAGTGCAGGTGGGTGTCTGCTGTCGAGGAGGAGCTCAGAGCAGCAGCCTCCCAGTGCCGGTGCAGCCTGGGCTCCCTCTCCTGACGCGTGAGCACCAGGAGTGCCCTCAGACCGTGGGTGCTCCGTCCAGTGAGCCCGCTGCCCCGAGGAGGAGGTGGCGGCGGCAGCGGAAAGGATAGGCTTGGCTCGGTCGGGGACATTCGGGCTCTGTGCCCTGCAGTCCTCAGTCATCAGACTATCTCCCCAGAGCATTCTGGCCACAGCCTTAACCCAGAGTAGCAGAGTGGCCTTGAGTGAGTGGGGCCCAGGCTGGTGCCATCCACATCCAGTGGGGAGCCCGTGCAGGGCGGGGGACGTTCTCGTGGCCCTTGCCCCGTGTTTGGCAGAGGGATCTTCTCATCGTGGCATTTTGAGAAGCACATGTAAGGGGTACCTTTACGTGACCCCTTGTGGAGTCCTAAACTCTGAGAGGTCAACCATGGCTTCACTGCTTTCCCCTCACTGTCTGCCCTTGACCCGCAAGACCAGCTGTCCTTTGGCTCCCCTGTGGTTTTACCATACTCCCTGGATTAATCTGCAGGCAAGATCTGTTTCATGGAGTTTTTTATTGAACCACATATAAAAATAAGAATAGCTGGAATGTGTGTGTCTAACTGTAAAGAAAATAGCTTGGGTTTCCTTTCTTTACTGTACTTCCTGTAAAGCCCAGCCTAGGAGGGACGTCACTTGGGGCACTTCTGTAAGTGCCTGAGCGTGGGGGCGGGGGGCACTTCTGCCTGTGCGGTCGGAGGGACCAAGGCAAGCCAGCCTGTGTCACCAGGTCTGCCGAGCCAAAAGCCCAAGGAGCAGCAGCGCAGCGTGCTTCGCCCGGCGGTATTACAGGCCCCGCAGCCAAAGGCGCTCTCACAGACAGGTGAGTCACAGCCCGGGGCCAGGCTCGCGCAGGAGGGTACAATCACAGGTGGTTTTGGCCCTGTCTGCTGAGTGCAGGGGAAACAAGACTTCAGTCCCTGATGAGCCCAGCAGACATGTAGTTCCACTGTCCCTTGCTGCGGTGCCAAGGCTCCCAAGAGCCGAGTTCCACCCCAGGCACGCAGCTCAGCCCTGTGCATCTCTGAGACTAGAGGAGTGACCTGATTAGAGGTAGTCTTACCTCACTCCCCAACCTCGAGATGTAACTCCTTAACCATGTTTCCACTATATCCACATACCAGGTGTGGTTTGCAGTTGATCTTTAATTTTTAATCACGATAGGCTTTTTTCTCAATCTTTCCCTGCAGTAGAACCCCTCATCAGGAGCAATGCCACAACCCACCTGGGAGAAGCAGTTGGTATTTATGAAGAGTTTTAATTACATGGAAAATTGTTTGGTCTAACGCTGAACAAAGCCAGATTTGAAGTTGTGCAAGTCACATAGTTGCAACTGCTTAAAAGGGAAAAGTGAAATGTTAGTCACTCAGTTGTGGCTGACTCTTGCAACTCCATGGACTGTAGCCCGCCAGGCTCCTCTGTCCATGAGATTCTCTAGCCAAGACTACTAGAGTGGGTTGCCATACCCTCTTCCAGGGGGTCTTCCCGACCCAGGGATCAAACCCACGTGTCCTGCATGCAGGTAAATTCTTTACCATCTGAGCCGCCAAGGAGAGGCGTGCATAGAAAAAAGACTTTATTAGTAAAACTAGTTTTATAAAATTCATAATTATTCCCCAAATACATTCTCTTTTTTCCTCCTTAGTAGTAGTATGTCTAAAGAAACTGAAAATTCACAGGGTTCTTTATAGAATTAACAATAATAGATTCTCGGTTTTGTGAGGTTTTCGTTTGGTATTTGGGTTTTTCTATCCTCTAAGAATTTGTGATTTTCAGTATTGATGCCATATCATTTTTCTTTAAGCATGTTGTCTTTTCAATTTTCTCACTGCACTGCGTGGCATGTAGGATCTGAGTTCCCCAACTGGAAATCAAACCCGGGCGCCCTACATGGAAGCACAGGGTTCTAACCACTGGACCCCCAGGGAAGTCCCAGACCCTCTTCTTTAAAAGAGACCCTCCACTGTTGGGCCCCAGTGGTAGGAAGGGACAGTGAGGTGGTCCAACCTCTGAGATGGCCTCCATCTTTTTTCCCCACAGTCCCGAGCAGCGGCACCAACGGGGTCAGTATCCCAGCAGACTGCACGGGGGCAGCAACATCAGCCTTGCCTGACAACCCAGCCCGGAGAAGTCCATCTGATGAGGCGCCAGCACTTGAGGTCTGTCCTCAACAGGGCAGGGAGCGCGCCACATGCGAGGCTTCTCGAGGCGTTGCTGAGCATGTGGGCTGTGGGCCACTTTGGGCCGTGTCCGAGCTGGCCTGTACTCAGGCTGCCTGATTTGCCCGGAGGGATCTGTGGGTAACCACAGCTGACTGGCCGAGTCACTAGGCTGCCAGGACCCCATGCTTAGTTCCGAGAGAATCGGGCCACGAGCAGGGCTGTGCCACTGAGGGGGCCTGCGGCTCTCCACGGAGAGCTGTCTCCATGCACTCTGCTTCTGGTGGCAGAAGTGTGCCTGGGAGTTGGCTCAGAAATCGTTCTTTAGCAAAGAAGACAGGTTGTGGGGTTCTATAGGCCAGATGCGTTTTCCAGTAGCATTGCACGGCAGCTGGAAAATAACAGGACATTTAACGAAGAGCCTGTGTTTGTGGTTGGCAAGTCGGACCTGAAACCTGAGCTGCAGTTGCACGTAACCCAAGGGTCCATGTGCAGAGACCGCTTGCACCCGTGTGTTTATTTCTACTCTATCCGTTTGGGCAGATACAATGCTGCCTGGGCTTCTCCACCTCCCCACCCACGCCCCCCATCCCCGCTGGATGTTGAGGCTCAAATGGGGAAAATGAACATGTGCAATTCAATCTTCATACGTCCCTGAGCCCCCCACCCTCCAACCACAGTCGACAGAATTGGAAGAGGAATTGTTCCCACAGCCTACAGCTTCTCAGAAACTGGTGGCTGGGGTCTCTAGGGCAGTGAGCTTGAGGAAGACCCAGAAGTGACCCCAGCCCACCCATCCTACCCACCACCATCCTTCACCAGCATCCCCAGTGACAAGAGCACTGCCCAGAGCTTGCCCCATCCTAGGGAGTCTCCCCAGCACCCCCCACCCAAGGGCCTGCACAGCAGGATTCATGCTGAGCAGATGCAGGGGGCGTGAGACAGCTCATCTTGCTTCTTAGGGCCAGGGTGTTCTGCTTCTTAGCTGTCTTGTTTGCTTGTTTTAATCAGAAGTCCCAGAGAAATGAGTCTAGCAGTGCTTCCGAGGAGGAGAACTGTGAGAAGAAAGAGCAGGGAGCCCAGCAGGCATTCGTGTTTGGGCAGAACTTGAGGGACAGAGTGAAGGTAGGTGGTCGGTGACCCAGGTGAGCTGGGGACGAGTGAGGCAACCTGCCTCTGCCTCCCCAGCTTCATTTTCCCAGAGATGGGGAGCAGGGCCATGTCCAGGGTGGTACCATGCTGTGCTGCTGGCTGGCCCCACCCCCAACCCCGACTGTGGAGCTCAGCGGGGCTCCCGGCAGCCAGCCCCCTCATGCTCCAGGAGCAAGGTCAGGGAGGTGACTGAGCCCTGACAGCTGATGTTTTTACAGCAAAGGAACAAGCAGATGTTAGTGTCCAATGCTTTCAACGTCTCCAGAGGGACTCTTCTCCTTACTGAAGAGTTTCTCAGCACTGGCAGTGTTTAGACTGGATCCTTCTTACTTCCGGGAGGCATGTCCTGGGCACTGAGGGTGTTGAGCAGCGTCCCCAGCCCCACCCTCTGGATGCCTTTCTTTGCCAGTGGGGACCACGGGAAGCATTCCCACTAGTGCTGACCGTCCCCTAGGGGCTACATCACCCCCAGTGAAAGCTGCCGCCGTTTGTTTTCAAATAGGACAGCTGGGAAGACGCTATGTTCTCTCCCCAGAAGGCAGCAGGCTCTGCCCCTCCTGGCTGCCCTCAGCTGTGTTGGTCTGCTCTGGGGGCTTTGAGTTGGGGATGGGGAGCTTGTGGCCTTGGCAGGGGCTCTCTGCAGGTTGGGTACCCCCCCACCAACTCTCTGGCCCTCTGGGAGACCTGTCCCAGCCCTGGGGGCAGAAGGTCCCTCTGCACCATGTGCATCAGCTCATCTGGTAGGAGCTCCTGGAGGCTGGGTCTGGGGACACCAGTCATTGTCACAACTGGAGGGTAGATGCCACTGATGCTAAGTAGGTGGAGGCCAGAGATGCTGACCAACACACTGCAATGCCCAGGATGCCCCTTTCCCCACTCAGGGAACCATCTAGGTTCAGGGTCAGTGATGTGGAGGGTGGGGTGCCCTGAAATGAGACCAGAGTCTGGGGTGCAGGGAAGGTGTCCAGCCGCACTAGCTACTTCCTCCTTTGGTGCCCGCCGTCCAGCAGAAGCACAGATGCCCCCAGAGACACAGAAGTAGGTGTTGATGTTGCACAGCTTTAAGCAAAATAACGAGTCCCTTGGCAGCCGCTCTCTCCCAGGAGCAGGAAGCAGGAAAAGAGAGACCTGGGCCTTCAGGTCGAGTCTTGCATGCTGCCTTGAGATTGGGGCGGGGCAGCATCTCATGGAGGCCCCGGCGTCTCAGGGCCACATCCAAGCTTCTGCATGGAGAGTGACTTGCAGGTGTGGTTTCTTAACCCCTCTGAGCCTCTGTTTCCTCTCTCAGAACATGGTCACTAACACCCACCTCTCAATGTTCCCAGGAGAATTGCATTGGAGAATATGTTTAACCAGGGCAGCACGACAGTTGGCATAAAAGAAGCCTCGAGAAATGATGCTTCTGTTTATGATGAACCCTTTAAAATATGAAATTTGTTCGTGATCTGTGATCTCTTGGTGCAGAAGCATTGGTGGAAAATTCCAACAGGTTGCCAGCCTGAGTGTTTTTTTTTTAAACAGAGGAGAAAAGGCTCCCTAGCACCTCATGGACTGTTTTTACATCTTAACTGTAACCCCCAGGATGCGTGCATGTAGATGGAGCTCTGTGTCGGCACAGGGCCTGTGCAGATGGGCTGAGCTGCTGAGGCCCTGAACGTCCCGTTCCCTGAGCAGTGTTTCCTCTCATTTCCCAGTTGATCAATGAGAACACTGAAGTGGCAGACATGGAGAACGCCGGACACCCCAGTTCAGAGACGCCAGCTGCGACCAACTATTTCCTTCAGTACATCAGCTCCAGGTGTGTGCCTCAGGCTGGTGCCTAGCCTTGCTTGGGGAAGTCTCCACCTCAGGGGGACCCAGGGTCACCCACTGTCCCTGGACCAGCCCAGTCCTCCCTCGGGAGGGTGAAGGGCACAGGCAGCCAGACTCCAGTCACCTCCAGCCCTCCTCCCCTACTTGGTAGAGGTGTGGAGGGTCCAGGATTGGGGGGGGTGTGCTGCAGCGGACAGCTGAGGCAGGACCGCAGTCCCGTGGGGTTGTCCAGCCCATCCTGGGAGTGACCTCCATCACCAGGTGCTGGATCCGGGCTCCCTGTTGGCGCTGCTGGCGGGGGCATTTTGCCCACAGCCTGGCTGCTGGGGTGTCTGGGGAGGAAGGCACACCCTGCCTGGGAGTCAGGCCAGCAGGGCAGGCACCGTGCAGACGCCAGCCTCCGAGAGGCCTGGCGGGACCAGTGACCTGCTGCTCGGCAGCCTGGCCCCCAGTTAGTGGGGCACATCAGTTATTTTAAGACATGTTTGATGCACCTCAGTGTTTCCCACATTGGGAGGCGCGTGCAGCCTGTGATATCTTAACGTGGATGAAGGGTGACGGCCATGGCAGCGGCCGTCTGCTGAGCTCTCCCCGAGGGCCATCCTTTGTCACCTACCCGCAGCCTGGTAGGAGGTGTCACCTCCTTGGTGTGGGGCCAGGGGAGGGGCCCAGAGAGCTGCAGCACGTCTTGGGGGTGTGTTTTTGGGGAGCGGGCGGCTGGCCCCTGCACTCAGCCTCTCTGTGGTGGTGTTCTCCTCCGGGGAGTGGGGACGATGGGCATCCGGCGTGACACAGCGACTGAGCAGTTGGTGCCAGGCAACTGGAGCCAAGGGTTCCTGTTTGCCTCCCGGCGGGGCCCAACCCAGAGCCTGTGGGGGCCTGTCCCTGGCGAGGCAGACCAGCCCACTTGGCCTTGCGGGGCCTCGGCTGCTTTCTGCTCCAACCGTGCGCATTGTGTGTGCGGGCGTGCACACCTCTGGCCCTGTGCCTCTGCCGCCCCACACTCAGAGTGCATCTCCTCTGCAGTTTAGAGAATGCAGCCAACAGTGCCGATGCCGCCAGCAGCAAATTCGTGTTTGGCCAGAACATGAGTGAGCGCGTGCTGGTGAGTGACCCTGTGGGGATGATCCCTGGGGCCCAGAGACTTTGAGAGCCACCCGCAGGTCACAGGGGCACGTGGCGTGTGGCTGCTGTGTCGTGTCCTGTGACATTAGAGTGCTTTCTTTTGCTGAGTAAGAGAAAGAAGACCCAACTCAGACGCAGCCTAAACAGCATGCAGGGGGTGGGAGGGACAGACCTGTTGGCCCGGGGAGGCTCTGCGGGAACCTGGGTTGTGCTTCCTGTCTTTGCTCATCTCAGGGCAGGGTGGGGACAGCTGTCAGCCAGATCCCTCGGCTGTGTGCTGCTGGGACCACCACGAGCCACCTCTGACGCCAGAGGAGGGCGGCCCTACCCCAACTGTGAGGCCACAGCATGGGGTGGGTGGTGGGGTGGCAGCCTCCGACAGGCCCCCGCAGTGTCCCCTGCACTCACAACACACACCTCAGGTCGTCTTCTGGCCCAGGATGGGCTTCTGGAATTGTCACCTGCTTCCTTACTTTTTTCCTTTTATTCCCCAGCCATACATTCCCAACCCCGTTGTGTCCATTTGTGAGGGTGGCTCAGGCGCTGTTGGGGGCTCACCTGACTCCTGGCATCTTGGTCTCTGTTTATGATGCTGAGGAGCTCCCTGCTGCTTCTCTTGAGTATCAGTACTGTCCTTTTTCCATTACAATGAAGGAGTCAAAGAATTGCCTCACAGACCAAGGTGACCAGGTGGCCTGTGGTCAGCTGGTGGCCCCGCCTACGGGTGATGCCACAGAGGCTCCAGAGGCAGTTCACGTACAACATCCAGGGCAGGCCTGTGCCTAGGGTGTCGTCCGAGGATGGTCAGCGAGTGCTGAGTGGAGAGGGGCTGGGGCTGGGTGGGTCCCCAGGATCTAAGAGGGAAGCTGGCCGAGAGAAACCCTCTGCCCAGAAGAGAACGTGCCAAGATCTGCATCCCAGCAGAGGGGCTTCCTGTCCACAGTGGTCAGCCCACTAGGACCACCTGCCCACACACCCACCTTCTGCATCCCTTTGCCCCCCGCAGAGCCCGCCCAAGTTAAATGAACTCAGCTCAGATGCCAACAGAGAAAACACAGCAGCAGAGTCTGGCTCCGAGTCCTCGTCACAGGAGGCCACCCCTGAGAAAGGTAGGCCTTGTCCTGTCCCAGGAGGGTGGCCGGGGACACTGAACCCCAGCCATGGTGCTGGCATCCAGTTAGCAGAAGGGGGCTTGGCTGGCTCAGAACAGCCAGGCCCAGGCACTGCCTGGTGACCCAGAACGGGGTGGGTGAGGTGTCTGACCTGACCGAGGTGACTGAGGGGTGCTCTAAAGCACCCTCAGAGGTCTCGCTGTCTTCTGTCCTTCCTGGAGCCGGGAGAGTGGGAACCGGAGCTGTGCTGGCCGCTCCTGGCAGAGTCACGGGGTGCGTTAGCGGGGTCCCCTGAGAGCCAAGGTGCAGCTCCCAGAGGCACTGGTCCCCTTGGGGCATCCCATGAGGCACGCCCTCCCCCCAACCAAGTCAATAGTCAATGTCGTTTAGCTAATCACATTGCAGAGTCCCTGGCCGAGTCGGCAGCCGCCTACACCAAGGCGACGGCACGGAAGTGCCTGCTAGAGAAGGTGGAGGTCATCACTGGGGAGGAGGCCGAGAGCAACGTGCTGCAGGTGAGTGCCCACCTACTTGTGGTGCCGGGTGCTAGAGCCACACGGTCTGTCTCAAGACAGATTACAGACCTGAAACAGATGTTTCTTCCTGCCACCCACTTAGCAGCTGTGACTGTCTTGTCCCGGTGTGCTGTGTCCTCCTCTTAGCCCAGACTTCATGGCCCTCCTGCCACGTCCCCACGGTCCTCCCCTCCTGGGTCGGCAGGTCCAGGGCGGTAAGGTTCCTTCTGCCCTTCGTCCTTCCACACATACCCGAGTGTGTGTCTATAAACCACGTACATGTGGCATTGGGGAGTTTTCCGTGGTACTGCTTATGCCTACTCACAGATTCATTTTACTATCAAGAGATGTTGACTTATAAAGATCTACAGACTTCTCTCTGTAAAGGGTCACTTATGGTCTCTGTTGCACTTTTTTAAACATAAAACAGCTTTATTGAGATAAAATGCACATACTATGAACTTCACCTTTTTTAAAGTGTACAGTTCAGTGGTTTTTAGCACATTCAGAGAGTTGTACAAGTGTCATCACTATTTTAGAACATTTTTGCCCCCAAAAAATAAGCCTTGTGCCCATTGCCCTTCAGCAGTGATTTCCGCGTTACCCTCTCCCCAGCCCCTGGCAACCACGAATCCTCTCTCTCTGGATGTGCCTGTTCTGGGCGTTTCATGTCAACAGACTCATACTGTGCTGTCCCTGGGATCTGGTCTCTCACTGAGCAGTGTGTTCTCAAGGTTCGTACCTGCTGGAACATGTGTCAGAGCCTCATTCTTCATGACTGAGTAACTGTCCGCTGTGAGATGGAGCACATTTGCTCATCCCGTCTCCTGACATGTGTCAGAGCCTCGTTCTTCATGACTGAGTAACTGTCCGCTGTCAGATGGAGAACGTTTGCTCATCCCGTCTCCTGACATGTGTCAGAGCCTCGTTCTTCATGACTGAGTAACTGTCCGCTGTCAGATGGAGCACGTGTGCTCACCCGTCTCCTGTTGGTGGACTCTTGCTTTGCTTCCACTTCGGGGGATTTAAGAATGATACCCCGCGAGCACTCATGTACAGGTGTCTCAGTGCACACCTGCTTCACTTCTCTTGGCTAGATACGTACAAGTGGGCTTTCTGGGCCGTGTGATAACTCCACATTTCACATTTTAAAGGACAGTTTTCCACAGCGGTTGCACCAGTTTCCATTCCCTTCAGCAAGGTGTGAGCATTCTGCTTTCCCCACATCCTCCAACGCCTGTTTTGTCTGTCCTTTGGTTATTACCATCCTAGTGTGAAGCAGTGTCACATTGTGGATTTTTTTTTTTTTTTTTTTTTTCTTGGCTCTGTCAGGTCAGAGTTGGCCAACAACATGCAGGCTCTTTGTTCCCAATCGGGGGTGAACCTGTGTCCCCTGCACTGGAAGACAGAGTCTCAACCACTGGACCACCAGAGACGTCCCCCACATTGTGGTTTGATTTGCATTTCCATAATTACCATCCTAGTGTGAAGCAGTGTCACATTGTGTTTTTTTTTTTTTTTTTTTTTTTACTTGGCTGTGTCAGGTCTTAGTTGGCCCACAACATGCAGGCTCTTTGTTCCCCAGCCGGGGTGAACCCGTGTCCCCTGCACTGGAAGACAGAGTCTCAACCACTGGACCACCAGAGACGTCCCCCACATTGTGGTTTGATTTGCATTTCCATAGTGATTTTTTTAAATACTCTTCTGAAAATGTAAAATCCATTTTAGCTTGAAAGCAGGACAGAAAGAAAAGTGGCCAAGAGCCAGACGTGTCCCCCCGGCGATAGTTTGTTAAACCTGGTGGTTCATGTGCGTTCACCTTGCGTTGCAGATCCAATGTAAGCTGTTTGTCTTTGACAAGACCTCTCAGTCGTGGGTGGAAAGAGGCCGGGGGCTGCTCAGACTCAACGACATGGCGTCCACTGACGACGGGACGTTGCAGTCCCGACTAGGTGAGCTGTGGCCGGGTTCCTGTGGAGGGCCTGGGGGATTCAGGGCCCCCGACATGTGTCCGTGGCCAGCCCTCAACCTGGGGGACCCAGCCCAGAGGCTCCCACCGCCAGTCCTCTGATTGATTATCTGACTGTGAAAATAGATGAAAGGATTCAGCAGGTTTTGAACTTATTTTTCGGTAATAAAAGTGCTAGTTGTTTTATGGTAGGAAAACAAAGAAATCAAACATCAGCTAAAATCTCATAAAAAAGGGAAATCCTGCCGAGAGTGTTTTGGTAGGCCCATTCCTGCTCTGTGGCCCTTTTTAAGGAAGTGGGGCGATTCTCTTATTCTGCTCACTCTCTTTAGTGGGCATGTCCCTGTGTTGTTCCATCTGCCTTAAAAAGTTCTTGAAAAACTTCCACATTAATATTCCACCAGCTGAATGTATTTAGCCATTTCCCTTTTGGTGGACGTTTGGGTTCCTAATTTTTCTTGACTCATAAATAATGCTTCTGGTACTATTTTTCACATGAGTTTTATTCCTGGAAGTATAATTGTTACAAAAAGAATGTGTGTGAGCGTGTTTGCATATGCGTGAGACATGTATATTCATCTTTTTTTTTGTAAGTTATCCTCCCAAATTAAAAGTTGTTGTCCAGCCTTTACAGAAATGTCGATCCCTGGCCCAGGTGTAGCTGGCGCTGTTTTCTTTCAGCGGTGTTTTTATGTGCTTGGGCTCAGAACTAGAACAGAAATGGAAATGGCCCTCCTGTTCGGGCACAGGTCTTTGCACCACTGCCCATAGGCATGCCTCTGTTTCTGTTTCAATTTGTAATGGAAACGTGCAAGCAGAGGGCAGAGAAGGCACAGGATTTCAGGACCCCATCTCATGGCTTTTCCCCTAGTCACCAGCCTGTGACCAGCCTCCTTGCGGCCTTGCCCTCCACTCCTCGTCGAGGTCCTTTCTGGCCATGCCCTCCTTTCACCCCACACAGCCTTTGACCCTTGGCACAGACTTTCCCTCAGAACTCACCTTGAGGGGCAAGGTGGGGGTACCTGGGTGGGGGTGACCGCATCTAACCTGCTCCAGGTTTTCAAGGGTTGGGGCGTAGACAGAGGGGTAGGCCGGGACAGGTCAAGCAGGACGACGTTGGCCTTGGGCTGGCTGTGGGTGGAACTCAGGTCTCACCTGCGTTTCCGGAGGGAAGGGTCTGTCCCAGGTTCTCTCCACCACGTGCTGCCCTCAGCCATCTCCTGAGGGAAGCTCTGAACAGCGGTCAGCCCCAGCATTTCCTCCTAGTGTTCAGCTCCTCCTCACGGGGTAGCGACAGTCAGAGGGTGTCAGCTTCACGTGGCATGTCCCCAGTGTGCAGCCCACCCCCATGCAGCATGCCCTCCACTGCCGCTAACTAGCCCCTAACCTGGGGAGCCCCGTCCAGGCACCACCTCCACCCACTGCATGCACCTCAGTGGTGGGGGTGCCAGGGCTGCTGCTCGGCAGACGGGCAGGTGGGAGACTGTCGTGGGATTTCTCCCTGGAATGTTGACTTTCCTGCAGGTGTGTCTGTTTTTATGGGGTTGGGGGCGGGTGTAGGCAGGACTGACATCTTCATTGGTTGCAGTGATGCGGACCCAGGGCAGCCTGAGACTGATCCTTAACACCAAGCTGTGGGCCCAGATGCAGATGGACAAGGCCAGCGAGAAGAGCATCCGCATTACAGCCATGGACACTGAGGACCAGGGTGTGAAGGTCTTCCTGATCTCGGTGAGCAGCCCCGGGCACAGGCCAGGCGGCTGCCAGACACAAGCGGGCAGCTCCACGTCCAGCACTGGGCACCCTGCACGGGGGCCTGGCCAGGGAGAGCAGGGAGGCCTCCAGGGTCAGGAGGGCTGGCCTGCTCATGGGCTCTGTGACCCCTTGGGAGGACAAGCCCTGAGCCTGCAGGAGCTCCGGTCTGCTGCTCTCGGGGCTTGTTGAGGAGGGAGGTCAGGCTCCCCACTCCCGAGTCCTGAGCTGGGGGCTTCGTTGACTGAGGAGGGGGTCTCCCCGAGAGACCTAGTCACCTGGCCCTCCTGCCCCCAGGCCAGCTCCAAGGACACCGGCCAGCTCTACGCAGCGCTGCACCACCGCATCCTGGCCCTGCGCAGCCGCGTGGAGCAGGAACAGGAGGCCAAGGCACCAGCCCCCGAGCCTGGGGCCGCCCCATCCAACGAGGACGACAGTGATGACGACGATGTGCTGACCCCGTCGGGGACCTCCGCAGGCGGTGAGTCGGGCGTCCCAGGGTGGCCCGGGTCAGGGCTGCATCCCAGGCAGGGACCTGATGGCAAGGCCACCGCTTTCCACAGGCGCCGGCGATGAAGGCGATGGGCAGACGGCTGGGAGCACATAGCGCCAGGAGCCAGCCGCCGCGAGCCTGCTGCTTTGTCCGTCTGTCTGCCCGCCCGCCCCACCCCCGGCAGCATCGAGGCACGGGGCTCGGGAACCACACTCCCCGCTGGGTTGGCCACAGTCTGGATCCGCACGTCCCGTTCAGAAGCAGACTCGGGAACTGCCTGAATGTGGTTTGGGACACGAACCTCATCATATTGATGAGCAAAACGAAAAAGAACATTTCTTCCCTCCCCACCTTGAATTGAAATGGCACATTAAGACTTGTCACGGCTTCTCACTGGGACTGGGACACCTCGTTTCTTCACCCCACCCTCCCTGTGTCGCCGGCTTCCCCCGCCGCCTGCCCAGGCCGCCGGGCCATCTCACAGTGTAACACTGGGCCTGCTGGACCGTCTGTTACCACCATCTTTACCTCCCGCCCCCACCTTCTGACTTGGGGGTTTTATTTTTAGATCTTTTCTGCCCCCAAGGCTTTGTGTTGGTCTCCTAGATCGAGTGAGGCAATTCTGTGTCGAGCAGGCGTGGCTGCACTGTGGGCTGCACCCTGGTTCCCCCTGTGACCCCAGCCCCCACGCTGGGGGTGCTCAGGACTGCTCGAGAGCCAGCCCCATGGGTTCCCCACCTGGGATTCCTCCAGGCCGAGTCGTGGGGTGCGGACAGGTTGGGCCTTGGGCCTGGAGAGCTTATCTAGAAAAGGGTCACTGGACATGGTTGGAGTGGGGGTGGGCACCATCCTCCTATTTGTCCCCGTGACATGGGTCACCCATCCTCGGGTGCCCAGGTGCAAGCCTGCTTCGTGCCCTTGGCCATTTCTCACCAGGCCCTGGACGTCTCTGCCCCCAAGACTGTCGAGGGCTGGGGACCTCTGAGAGGGGAACCCTGGCAGGGCCTTCAAAGAGGGGGCAGCAAGCAGAGCGGTTTCAGACAGCAGGCAGAACCCGTGCTTGCAGCACACACAGGAGCGTGCCCTCTGCTTGCCCCACCCCGGAGCATGGCCAAGAGCAGCTGGGCGCTGCCTCCCCCCATGTCGGGGCTCGCAGAGGAGGTCTCTGTGCACAGAGCGCCAGGGCTTCACAGGAAACCTCCCAGCCGCCCTGACAGGGTGAGGAGGGGGCCGTCTGAGCCACGCCACCCGCACCCCGGGGTGGCCCTGCAGCCCGCGCCTGAGCCACGGGACATCACCAAAGGCCCCCCCCCCCCCAGCAGATCCGGTCACACTTCTCTGCTTTAAGCCTTAGTCAACTAGTGACAAGTAAAACCAGATAATGCCCACGTGTTTTGAAACATTTATGTAAGATTGTCATATGAAATGTATTTGGGAACTACATTAAAACTTTTAACTAAAACACTGGCCTCCTGCGTGCCCCAGGGGCCTCAGGAAGCCGGACAACCTGACCAGGAAGCAGCCTGGCCTGCCTGCAGGGTGGCGGCCTCTGCCCCACACTGCACACCTGGGCAGGTGACCCATGGCCGCCTTCCAAGACTCACAGTGGCCAGCTTCACACAAGAGCTGTCCGCTTCCCCGCCAGGTGCGGCCTGGCTTCCCTGGGGACCCACAGGGAGGGGTAGGGGTGCTGGCAGGCAGGGTTCGCTGAGCAGGGATGTGAGGAGCTTTGGGATCAGCACGATGTGGGCAAGGGGCCTTTCCCCCTGGGGTCCTGAGCCAGTGAGTCATCAGGGGAACTGGTAGCCAAGCAGTACAGTGGGTTCTGTGGCTTCAGTCCCCCCACACTCCTCCCCACCCCCACCCCAGGGCTGCTCAGCTCCAAGCCCAGATGAGAGAGGCCTTGGCTCCAGGGTGCCAGCTGCATGGGGGTGCACGGCTCACAGCCGCCAGGCGCTGGTCATCATGGCCACAAACTCCTCATCTGTATCCATGGAGGCGCTCACACCACTGTAGTAGTCCTGGAACTCCGCCAGTGTGACCTGGGGGCAGACAGGCGGTTGGGGGCGTCTGAAGGTGTGGGCGAGGGACCGGAGTATGCATGCACCCACCTGCCCGTCCTTCTCAGAGGAGTCGAAGTTGTCCAGGAAACGGCGGAGCACCTGCTCTTCAGTCCACTCCCCGCTCCGCACCTTTGGGTGAGCGCGGCCACTGTATACCCCCCGGAGATCGTCCACGGTCACCACGCCATCACCACTGCGGTCTAGCTTGGCAAACGCCGCTGCGATGACCGCCTCCCGGGCCTGGGACATGGGGGGCTGGGGAGGGTGTTGTGGTAACTGGGGGGTACGAAGCACAGAGGCTCCCCTTGGTCTCCACACCGACAGCGATGGGCCCAGGAGAGTGCGGCACCCCCAGCTCACCCGCAGCGCTCGCAGGAACTCCTCCAGGTCCAACGTCCCGCTGCCGTCGCGGTCCCAGCGCCTGCACACGCCCTCCGTCTCAGCTGCATCTAGCACCAGCCCCAGCTCAGCCAGGCCCCGCTGGAGCTCCCCCACATCCAGGGAGTGGCTTCCATCCCGGTCCAGGCGGCGGAAAAATCTGGGGGCAGGGGTGCAGGGTTAGAAAAGATCCGTGGGACTGGGGGTCGGGGAGATGTGAGATGAAAGCTCACCTGGCCACACCCTGGATGCCCGAGGCCCCTCGCGACAGACACTGGGCTCGGAGCTTCTCCATGGTGGTGTCCACAGCATCCATGCTGGCTCCGGGCTCTCTGGGTGGCTGGATGGGCGAGAGATCTGAGGGGGGGCTCCGACTCAGCCACCAGGCTACGGACTGGCTGCCTTGATCTGTCCTGGAGTCCGGGTGGCCTCTCTGCCTGCCTCCTGCCTGCTCTGCCCAGCGCTGGCAGTGCGTCCTGCCGGGCAGGGCTGTTGCTAGGGGACAGGGCCCTGGAGACCGGGAGGGGCCCCAGCTGTAACTCTCTCTGTGCCAGGGCCTTGTGGCCACAGCACTGCCCTGCCGGGGGCGTATGGAAGGCTGAGGAGGACAGGCCAGCACTGCTGTCACCACTGCCCAACCACCGTCCCGCCTGCTTTCTCCCAGCTCTGGGAGAGAGCCAGACCCAGGTTAGAAGGAGGGTGGAGGGAGTGGGGGAGGGGTGCTTCAGAACCACGAGGAGGAAGGGGGGGTCACAGCCCTGCAGGGACCAGTCCCCAGATGAGGGAAGGCTCGGCCCAATTCCTATGTGACCCCTCCCCTCTTTGGGCTTCACCAGCCTCCAGCCCCTTTCCACAGGGCTGCAGCTGAAGCTGCTGAGGAATTCAAGTTTAAAGACTCGAGATGGCCCAGGCCCACGTCCAACAGGAGCTGCTCAGACCAGTGCTGGCTGAGCCGAGATGCAGCCAGTGTTGTAAACATCAATGTTGAGTTGGACGAAGCAATTCTCAGTAGTTAATTATGGCCAGTCATGGTATTTTTGTGAACATGGGTCTTTTGGGGGTTGGTCTCCAGTTCTCAGACATCACTTGGTGGGCTTGCTCATGACAAGCCGCTTATCTGGCCAGAGAAGGACCCCTGACTCCCTGACTTCCATAATCCAAGAGAAACCAAGACCACGGCAGAGAAGGCCTGCCATCAGACTGGACATCTGGCCAACTGAGCCTCACATCAGCAGGCTGGGATCGAAGATGATAATGGATTTCCCAGGACTTAAAATGCAGGCCCCTGTTTGGGGAACCCCTGCCCACCCACAGAGACCCAGAGATCATCAGAGCCTTTTCAAAAAGCTTGGGAGTTGCACACAGTACAATGGTATTGTCAGAAGTTGCTCCTCCTGACCAAAGCCAAGCCATGGATCATCAAGCAACCTGTCACTGTGATCCACGCCACAGCAGATGCAGCACCATTGATTGTTACGAGAAACTGCAGTGACATTCTGCTGCAGAAGTTCTCGTGACTCGCTGCAGTCCAACATTCTCTGCATAGGCACAAAGAAATAGCTCCATTGTGTGCCTTCATAAGGCTTATAAATGTCAGGGATTTTTTTCTATAAAGAAATGTAAAATGTAATCACAATTATTGTAGCTCTGCTTGGGCATCTCCACATCTTTGAGAGAATCAGAATCTCAACAATAAAAAATGGGGGGGACTTCCCTGGTTGGTCCAGTGGTTAAGAATCTGCCTTCCAGTGCGAGGGACACAGGTTCAGTCCCTAGTCGGGGAACTAAGATCCCACATGCTATGGGGCAACTAAGCTTCTGTGTCACCACAGAGAACCCATGTGCCACAACTAAGACCTGACACAGCCAAATAAATGGTTTTTTAATTAACTTTACTTAAAACTGAAAGTGGCAAGGGCCCTCCAAACCCAGAGGCCCTTTCACTTGACCTCTCTGAGCCTCACTTCACACGGCTATAAAATGGGGCAATGCCTGTGTGCATAGGCAGCTTAAGAGACAGAGCTGTATATGTGGAGCACTTGGCACAAGCTGCCACCCCGTGGGGCCCACCCTGGACCCAGGAGCAACACAGCAGCCGCCTCTCCAGCCCCCACAGTAGGAAGAGAGGAGGAGGGACCAATGGTGCCATGAAATCATTTGGTTTATTCTTGAGCATAGACAGGCCCTAGCCTGCCTTCCCCTTGTTCAAACAGCACCCCCCTTATTCGTCCAGAGGAGAAAACTGGGCCATTGTTACCACACTGAGGGGTCACTGTGCGACGCCAGGAGGCACCCTCCGCAGGGCGGAGGACAGATGCTGAGTTTTCGGGGCTGAAAGGGGCTGTGCCCCACAGTGGTTCGGGGTGGGGATTCCCTGAGTCCGGAGGCAGGAAACGGCTGCCATAGTCCCAGGCCAGGCACTTGGGCTGGGCAGAGAAAGGCACAGGGCTCCCTGTTCTGATAAAAAAGCAAAGTGCCTCAAACATCTCGGGCCAACAAAGGCAGCATACAAATAAGGAGTGAAAAAATAGATTCTCTGGGGATTAGAGAAAGGAGCCAGCTGGTGCTTTGAAAGGAAAGTTGCTGGGGGCCTCATCAGATGTGCTGGGCCCTAGAGTGTGCCAGGCACTGGTGACAGAAAACAAAAACCTGCCCTCATGGAGCTTCCACTCCTATGGTAAAAAGTTACATAAAGGAAGTGGGGCAATGGGAGCAGGGTGGAATGGGGAAGAATGACTTCTGATAAGGCTGTCATGGAAGCCCTCTAAGAGGAGATGATGTTTGAGCAAAGACCTGAGTGAACAGGAGCCAGTCATGTGGCATCTGGGGGGAAGAGCATTCTAGGCAGAGGAAACAGTCAGTGTAAAGGCCCCGAGGCAGGATGCTATCAAGAGAAGGTTACGGGATGCCTGAGTTTGCCTAGGCAGCAGAGCCTGGTTGCCAGCATGTCAGCACATCCCACCTGCACGCACTCCTTCCTGGGTTGAGAGGAGGACAGAATTAGGGGAAAAAATATCTTCATATAACCAATGTGAAATGGCCTGAGGCTTGAGGTTCACTGGACTGAGATGAAGAATAAGGCTTTAGGATGAACAGTGCTTCCGGAGGAACAAAAACCAGGGCAGGGGAGAAAAGAGGGACAGACTCAAATCACACGGCACTCGATGCCATCTGCCTCCACCAGAATAAGAGAGGTCTCTAACTCAGATGTTTCAGGGGCCAGACATCCGGCCTCGAGAGATGAGGGGGCGAATGGAAACTTGCCCTCGCTAAAGAGGATGTCCTGGACTCAGATCCAGGCAGGTACAGCCCAGCCCGAAGCCAGAAATCCAGATTCGTGTGTAAGCGCGGCCAGTTCTCCAACAAGGGTGATAGATTCAAAGTTTTGCTTTTAAAAAAAAAAAAGAAAAACTGGCTGAGTTCATCTGCATTTGGCCTGCAGGCCACCGATATGAAACCTATGCCTTTTTAACAGGTTCTGACACTGAGGATTATGGCTCTTTCAAGGGGTCCTCTCTGGGATATCTTAACCGTAAGAATACCCGGGCAGTAGAAGTCCCACTGGAGTCCTCTTTCTCCATTCCGGAACCTGCTCTCTGGGACTCACACAGTGGTCCCAAACACTGAGGGCTCAAGCTCGTCCCTGTCTTCTTCCTCCCCAGTACTGTTGGCAAGGGGTGAGCTGGACCCACCAGGGAGTGAGTCACTGGCTGGCAGGGGCCCCAGGCGCTCGGCCTCAGCCAGGGTAGCCAGCAGCCCAGCCAGGGGTGGCCGGCGGCGGCAGAGATCCTGCAGCAGCTCAGCCCGGGGCTGCAACTGCCCGATGAGCTTGTCCCTCTGGCGCACGGCAGCCTGCAGGCTCTGGACAGCAGCCTCCGATGTCAGCAGCTGCTCCCGGAGGGCGGCAATCTCACTGGAAGGAAGGCAAGACAGAATAGTTATGGTACCCGGGCACCAGAGAGGTTCTCTTCCCCCTGCTCCCAACCTCCATCCCCAGATTCATAGATTGAATCCCTATGCCGTGATAGTATTTGGAGAAGAGGGCCTTGAGAGGTGAGGAAAGTTTACATGATGTAATGAGGGGTTTCCTTTTAAGAAGAGATACCAAAGAACTTGCGCGCTCGCTCTCTCTCTCTCTCTCTCTGTGCTTTGTGAGGACACAGTGAGAAGATGACTATTGGCAAGCCCGGAAGAGGACCCTCACCAGAACTGAATCAGTGCCTGGATCTTGAACTTCCCAGCCTCCAGAACTGTGAGGAATCATTTGATGTTGTTTAAGACACCCAGTCTGTGGTATCCTGTAATGGCAACCTCAGCAGACTATCACACTCCCTCATCCACCCCCAGCTCACCCTGCAGTTCCCTTGTCCCCTACTAATGGCAACCTCAGCAGCCTAACACTCCCTCATCCACCCCCAGCTCATCCTGCAGTTCCCTTGTCCCCTACATCTTTTCCTACTTGCTGCTCAGCTTAGATGGGCTCCTCCCCCAGGAAGCCTTCCCTCTGGGCCCGCATAGAGCCGTGCTGCCCTCCATCATACACAATAATACTATGAGGTTGAATACTGGAGCTGGTTGCCATTTCCTTCTCCAGCCATCATACACACACATCCCAATCACCCTGTGTTGTACTGCCTAACAGTGTGCTTGAGGGCAGGGCTGTACACGTCTTACTGATGTGCCCTAATGACCAGCACAGGGCCTGGCATATGGTAGGTGCTCAGTAAAGATGAAGTAATGAGTCCAACCAGCTCTGAATTGTTTCCCACCGGGTCCTCTGAAACACTTTCTTCCCTGGGCGCTTGTCTCATCCCTTTGAATCCTCAGCTAGAAAGACTCTTCAAAACTGCTAATATAATCCCATCCTCCCAAGAACCTGCCATGGCTCCAATACCTACCAGGCTGCTGGTGGTCCCTGTACCATTCAGGACCAGCCAGTTTTGCCTAGTGGTAAAATGGACCCTGTTAAGTTAGATTAGCCACACCCAAGTGACATTTCTCAACTTTGTATAGTGATGATTCAAGTATTTTTGTGTTTGTTTTTCCAGTCCCACCAGTAGTCCAGCTCCACGTGAATGCCCACGTCTCTCCTACCAGTATTCCTTTCCTATCTCGGATCTGCCTCCGCCCAACTCCTCCGAGAAGTCCACCTGCCGGGTCCCAAGATTCACCGGTCTTTGGCGCGTCCCAGCTCGTCTAAAGCTGCGCTCAGGTGCTGGTCGTGGCGGGCCAGGCGCTCGGCCTGGGCGCGCACCGTGCACTCGGCGGCCTCCAGCCGCGCCTCCAGTTCCGCCGCGCGCCGGTGAACGGCAGCCAGGTGTGCGTTAGCCTCGCGGATCTGCAGGGGCGGCGGCGCTGACATGGCCCCTGCAGAGGACCAGGCCTGGCCACGCCCTCGGGCGGCCCGGAACCGGCCCTGGACACGCCCCCGGAGGGCCACACCTCCGAGGGTCCGTTTAAAACCCCTTCGGCGTGATTGGCCGGGTTCACCGCTAGGCTCCGCCCTCCGGGGCTGGGTCTAGTACTCAAACCCGAACGCCCTCACTGGTTCCGGCAACTGGAAACTCCGCCCCTGAGCCCCGACTAACTCCAAGATTGGCCAAGGTCTTAACAAACTCCGGCCCCAGGTTGGCCTTGTCCTCCGGTGGCCATCTCAGGTTCTGGCAACAGGATTGGTCATTCTCTCGAGGCAGGCCCCGCCCTCCTCAGAACCTAACGCGCCAAGTTGGTTGGGCCCCACAAGTCTGACCACGCCCCTGGAACCCGTTACGCTTCTCTCATTGGCCGTTCACGCCCCTTAGGCAATCGTGCAGCTCCTGATTGGTCCAGGTTATGTTTGGGATTCTTGACGCACACCCAGTGGATGGTCCTTCTTCATCCCGCCCAGGGGTTGGACTACAAACCGGGCACAGACCACGTCCTGCTAAGAATCCAAGCACTGGGACTGGACACTTTCTCGTTAAGCCCCTGAGCCTGAGTCATTGGAAGAACTGACGCCGAAGCTGAAGCTCCAATATTTGGCTACCTGATGCGAAGAACAGACTCATTGGAAAAGACCCTGATGCTGGGAAAGATAGAGGGCAGGAGAAGACGGGGGAGACAGAGGATGAGATAGTTAGATATCACCAACTCAAAGGACATGAATCTGAACAAACTCCGGGAGATAGTGGAGGACAGGGTAGCCTGGCGTACTACAGTCCATGGGGTGGCAAAAAGTCGGACACAAGTTAGCTACTGAACAGAAATTCTGTGCCTGACCACGCCCCCAAATAGTAGCACGCCGTTAACTCAGGTTTAAGACTGGCCGTTTGCGTGACCACGCCTCCCCACAGATACTGGCGCTGGGAGTGGCCACATCCCTCCGTGTTCCCGCCCCATAATGACGTCTCGCTCCAGTAGAGTTTGGCTCCGCGATCTCCTCTCTGCATGTGGATAGGCTTAGTACCTTTGATAGTCCCGCCCCTCGTTAGGTCCTACCTCTCGGGGTCACACTATTCTTGACCCAGGATCTTCTGACCTGAAATAACGGCAACTGCCTTCACTGATCCTGGTCAGTTTCCCCCTTCAGAAA